GGCCAATACCCTCTTGAGTTGATGGCAGCTCCCTGGCTGACGGGTGCCGCCACCGAACCCCCACGCACACGCTGGGCAGCTTGGAAATCCTCCTGCTGCTGGTCGAGGTCATTCGAGACCTCCCGGGGCTCAACAATGGCACCCTCCTCTTCCTCTTCTTCCTCCTTCTCCTCCTCTTCATCCGAGGAGCCGAAGAGACTCTGATAGGAGCGTCGAGTCTCCTTCTCCTCGCGGAGTGGAGACTTAGAGGCGGTACGCTTCTTTGAGGGCTTGGCGCCTTCGGCTTTAGAGGCCTTAGCGCGCGCAAGACCCTCGGCAAGCGAGAGACGTTTGCGAGGACTCCCTTCCTCATCGCCACCGGCTTTGGGAGTGCCCTTAGCCTTAACGGCCGGACTCTCAGAGCGCACAGAGGTCCTGGGACTGTGATCACCGTGATCACTAGCGGACGACTGCACGCTGTCTTCTTTGTGCTCACTGGGCACTGGGCTGTGCCCTCCCACAGAGCCCGCAGGAGCATCATGAGTGCTCTCGGACTCGGCATCGTCCTCACTGCCCGAGTTGAACTCACGTTCTACGAACCGAGGGTTCGGACGATTGTCTGAAGACGAGGGCGACGGACTGCGGCGCCTGCTTGCGCGCTTGTCCGCAGCCGCGTCACCCGAGGATCCGATAGCCTCGGAGGCCACCTGAGTAGCCTCCTTAAGTGCAGAGCCTTTGCCGTGAGGCTTAGTGCTCTTGGCCTGCGCCTTACCGGCTGCAGCCTTGGAGCGTGTCTTAGCACCGCTCTTAGCAGTGCCACGAGGCATGTTAACGGTCGAAGTGGAGACCTTGACGAAGAGCGCACAGGTTGCTGCTCGAGGCTCTAACTGTAAAGTGAGCCTCCGCCGCGCTCGCGCGGCCGAGTCGATGGTTTTCGACTTTGAGAATGAGAGTTTGTGACGAACATCTCTTCATTCTGATTGGTCGGTAAACCGAACCTAAGTGGGGGAGGATGTAACGGGGTACGTAGCACTAAGTGTACCCTGGTTACATGAAGTGTGACACTTCACACTTCAGGAGTATGACATGTCATACTCCGGGATATTTGGTACAAGGTACCAAGGTCATTCAAAACCAACCATTGGTTAAATGACATTGCATTTCTATAGGTAACTGATAGTTTGTATTAACCACAAACTTAACCTACCTATAAATATACTCAGTTTACAATCTACCTTATTTAGGTCACTTCGCTCTCTTTAATTAAAGAGGGGACCTGTGAGCTGCCGTTCACTGAGAGTTTGTATACTCTCGGAAGATAACTTCCTCTAGCGCAAGGTGCTGTGTGACCCCGTCACACTGTCACATGTATGTTCATGTTGCATTTGGGTGTGCAGTTCGTTCAGTGTATTCTCCAGCCTGGGCATGCCTATGTTTTTCCTGAGGCATGTGGCAATCCACTGCTGGAAAGCGAAGTGTTTAAGGCTAGGGTTGGCTAGGTGGTGCCGAGGGAGATCGGCTTTCTCGTAGATAGTAAAGTGTTTGCGCGACTGCTGGGAATTTCTTAAGTGGGCCACGTGGCATTTATTATCCTATAATACGCCAATTTCTTTTGTCTCTCTTATACTATCACAGTCTTTAAGCAGATGTGGCTTGATTTTATTGTGGGATAATTTGGGAGTGGATCAGACCGCTTTGATATTTGTTTTCCTCTTATACTGTACTCGGTGCCGTATTGCCGGAGCTGTCTGTATCGCCCCTTCATGCACAAATTTTATGGACACAAAAACCAAAAGCACACAGTCGTGGCTTGTTTGGGAGATGAGGCTATGAGCAAACTCCGGCAAGTCATACGAGGCATACCGATTGTGATCGTGCGATTAAGAACAACACAGGCTCTGCGAAACGTGGGTTTAGGGGGGGGTATACCACTCGAGGATGGATTTGGCAAGGAGATGCGACAGATCGACAGGTGCAAAGATCAGTACGGGCAGCCTACGTACGCTCGGTTCAACAAAATGTTTCCGTCAATACACAAGGCCTTAGCAAATAGAAAATTCTTCTTCAAAACCCTACGCATTGCTTGTCACGTTCCTGATGATCCTAGCATTGTTCCCCTAGCATTGATCAAAGAATTCGAGCTGATAAAGTGTGATGCAGCGAAGAAGGACAAAGCGTTAGAGGGGGGGGTGTCGATGAGTGTTATAAAGACACTCTTAGCCTTGCTACGATCGCGCCGCGCACCGCTGGCTTACAATGGCTTTGCAAATATCCAGCTGGATCACTTCATACAAGCTTCGAAGAGCTTTGAGACCTGAAGCTGGCTCCAGGTGTTTACGTGGTAGGTGCTTCGTGGGCGCGGCACATAAAGCACTGCTTCGTTTTTTGCGCCTACGCTGACACGCGCCCTCACCGGGTGTTCGATATGTGGTAGGAAGGTGGAGAAGACCACGAGTTTTACGACGAGCCACAGGAGAACTTGCTGTGGATTCGGCGCTGTCATTTGATCTTTCGCTTCAAATCAGTAGTCAGGGTTGCGCGCTAAAGAACAACGCTAAAAATAAACAGCTAATATTTGAAGTAGCTTTCGGAAATAGAGACATTGTATCTATTTTGTATGACTTTCAGTATGTTAGGCATTACATATCACGGTACGATATTTCTAACTACGATACGACTTGTAAAGTACCGTAGTTTGAATCATTGTACTGTACGCTGTCGATCTGTACAGCTACAGACCAAATCGCACTCTAAGCCATGACACCCATTCATTTACTGTAAGAAAACTGCACTCAATATTTCCACTTGAAGCTCTGCGCTTACCGTGGACAGTAGTCTCGAAGTATTTTGTTAGAAACAGGGAGAAGCTAAAGTCAAGACGTATGTCTGGTCTCGGCAGGATTTATCTGGAGAAGAGCGCAACACTCAGAATGAGCTGATTTTATGTAGCCCTAGAGAAAAGCTAATGTGATCACCAGTTTGTTTATGCAGACATGCGGAGTGAGGTCCTCGCGGGAGCACTGTAGGGAGCTGCGTGGGCGTCGGGCGATACTGTCGGCGCCGAGCCGGTCCTTCCCCGTGGCCGCGTTCATGTGGTGCGCCATCGCCCATGCTTCCTGTTGCGTCCCCGGCGTCACCTCTTAATCACACTTTGTTTTATAAAATGGGACGCCAAATGTCTTCCCCGCGTAAGTTATATTCTTCGTAAATTACCGATTCTGGAAAAATCCAAATTATAATCCTGTACAAGCCTGAACAAATTTTATCGTTGTATTCCTGGACTGCAGTAGATAACAAAACCAAGTGGTGGATATTTCACTAAATTACTGCTCTGGTTTGCAATAGATCGAGTCTATTATGATTAGCTTGTCTTTTTGAGCATTAGGTATTGAACTATCAGCTCATCGATGGCGAGCTCTAATGGATAGGTATTGTTCAGTCATCAGTATATTTGCGATTAAACCGTGTCACCAATTAGCTCGCTACGCTTACTGTCTGACGAAGTCTTCTCAAAATCCTACTGTGAGTTCGCTGACGAGAGCGACGGCGAGAACGACAGCCTCGTTCGGATGTTTAGGTCAGCAGCCAAGCGTGCGTCACGGCGACGACGATAGCGTCGCTGGATGGCTGCACGTCTTGAGCGCTCTCGCTCCGCCATCGAGGCGTATCGTTTCATCACGGACCTGTAGAATCGGCCATTGTCACGGAGTGGGTTGATGTCAGTGTGGTAGCTTGTTAATGCAAAGCACGTTCGAGCAAACGAGTCGAACGACGACTCGCTCCACTTGAGCGTGCTGTGCATGATTCTCCGCAGGAGGCACACGCGCCCAAAAAAGTTTCTCCACTAGCACTCTATCCGACGAGGCCCGAGCATTGCGAGCGAGCTCATCCGACGTCAGCTCGCCGTTGCGTAATTTTTTCTTAAGGGTGGACCACACGCAGCATTGTAGCACCGCCTTCTTGGCGACATCGCTGTGGACTAAGGCGCTGTCCGCGGCGAGACGCCGCAGAAGCTCTGCAGCAGGAATGGGGGTGGCACTTCGAACCATTTGCAGTAGGTTTTCGAATGAGATTTCGTAAAGTTGTCCAACGCTTCCGTCAGAGCGCTGTCTACCAACCATTAGATTGGTTGGTGACCATTTGATCTAGCAAAGTAGCTGCTGACAATTTACTGTGTTTCAGCTAGTAATACTGAATCTAAAACGGTTTGGAAGGTGCTCCATTCAGGGCAGACGTAATTGGTCATTGCGTGAATAGTACGTTATTATGCTTTGCAGATGGAATGTCCGCCCGTTTTATTGCCTAGATCGAGCATGATCGGAGCATACAACCACGCGTAAAAATGAGATGGGAAGAGGGAGGCATCGATTTGTTGTATGTGTGATCAAATTACCATTTCGAAACGGCAAAAAGGGTCGATTTACAGGATGTCGATGTGGATTTGGTGGTTGAGCGATCCCGAGCGGACAATTTGGCTGCCGTAGCTTGATTTATCAGCCAGTGAAGCTAGATCGATTTGTACTACAGTACTGCACCCCGTTATCGCGCCCTTGGACCTTTGATAAACTTCCGGATGTGATTATTGTTTGTAAGCTATAAATCTGGTGTATTTGCAAATCATTTATGGTCCACCCCCGCGAAAACAGGGTGCAGTACTGTAGTTATAGACCTCAATTTAATAAAACGATTTCAGTTTATTATAAATCGAGCATCAGGCATTGAAATGCACAATAAATACACAGTTATATTTTTGAACTTTCCCGAATTGTTTTATTTGCCACAGTAACTCATCAATTGGTAGGTAACTGGTTTTGGGGTCTAGTGAATAAATTTTGTCGCCCTGAAGTGTACTTGAGCTACAAGGTTTTGAAGAAGTACCGTAGTTTATAAAATTAGACAAATGCAGCGCATAAAAAATGGGTTTCAATACAAGCCCATTTTACACAGGGTAAATATTTAAAGCAATCATTTCCCATTGGCTAAAATGTTTTGTGAATTGTGTGCTGCTATCATTTCTCAAAATGCGACTCTGGACTGCGTTGCTGGGCATCTTTGCTGGCGGGCTGAGCGTCGAGGCAGCCAGTCACGCAACCTTCGCGGTGTGGCCTCAGTATATCGATACAGTCGTGTCGCTCTCAGTAAACGCAGGTAAAAATATGCCTGTTGTATTGTACAACAAGGCGATCGGAGCAATAGCAGCAGTGACATTTTCTATGTGAATCCTTCAGATGGCGCGTCCGCCATCCAGACCTCGCATGGAGGAACTCTCAAAACCTTCAATATGAAAACTGATACCAAGGCTAAGGTGTGACAATTTGTTGTTTTTTTTCACTAAAAAATTATTAATATTAGTATGCGTGCGTGTTAGATACATCTTGACCCCCTGGTTGAAGCATTTGAGGTATGAACTTGAGTTGAAGGAAGCTATTGTATGCAGTAGACAAACAGTTGGTGCCGTAGATCACGTGGAGTATCGCTACAGATACACAGAGCTCGACGTTTGATCACTTTCTGGCGACCTCGTCACGATTCGATGGAATAAATGCTGTCGGTATCCACTTGCGAGCCAAACTTCGAGAAGAAGCCAGCTGGGGTGCAATCAATGAGACACACCACGAACGGATTGAGAATAACGTCCGTGGACTCTTGCAGAACGTCGTACCGTCATTTGAAATTCTCCCATATTTGTCGAAAGGTACACATTGTGGCGGCTTTGGTTGTGGTGTGCCTTAACATCGTGTATCTATTTCTTTTTGCAGGTTTCTTGGCCAAGTCTTTTTGCAAATTCCACACATGGAAGACAAGCAACCCGCTTGATGCTGAATCGCCAAGTCTCTGCTTCTCTTCGTCCTTTCCTATCTCGTCCCAGAGTGATGGTACATCATTTTACAATGTGATTATACGTGGGAGTAGTGAAGGTTTCGCTAGCTTTGGCAAGTCGGTGACCGAGCGCGCTCTGTTTGGAGCTCAGCTACCCTTCCGAAAGAGCCAGGATGAGGCTAGACTAGCAGTGGTGACGTTCCGTCGCAGCTTAAACTCTGCGACTATCGAGGCAGAGTATATGGTAGCGTGGATTGCTACACCGTCGAGCTCCGAAGAAACATTTAAAGCTGCTCTTGCAGTCGACCAGAGTGGAAGTGACGTGCTAGTAGTGACATCCATTGGAAGTGACTTGGATGTTGACGAGCTCGAGCTCGCTTGGCTCCAGCGAGATGGAAAACGCGTTGCACCGTCATCTCCACGATCTGTTCTAGAAGTACGATCTCCAAAGACAAACGTGGCAGCCTCACTACAAGCAGCTATCGCGGGAGAAGGGTTTCATCGCCGATACGTACTGGATGTAAAGGTCCTTGACTCGAAAATCTGCAGTGGAAATGCTGACAACAAATCGATCCTTGCGCGTGTGCCCATCTCAAACACTGCGTATATCGACTTGGACGAGATTCGGGTGAGCCTCAAGAAAGGGAGGCAATTTAGAATGACGCTAATACTAATACTTTCACTATGTTCCTTCTGTGTAGAGAATGGAGCGCTTCAGTGAGCTGAAACTGCTGTCCTTCACGAAGCACATTGAAATCGAGCGACCGTCTCCTGTTTCTTCACAGCATGTCGTTGGTCTCGAGTTTACAATGTTCGTGTCTTTTATTTTTAGTGTCGTGACATTAACTCATATCATTTGTTGACGCATTCAAAGGCCATCCACCAACCAAATGCACATTGAATTCCCGATTCACTTTCGATACCAAGCCCCGTCACAAAGCGAATTATACCGCCAAGCACTTGTGATCGCTCCGGATATTTTCTTATATTGCGGAGATGGAGATCGTTCACCTAAGAGAAAACTGGAGCCGACAGATGACGAAGATATACAAAATCACTTTCAGGTAAGCAAGAGTTTATCTCGTAGAATTGCTGTAAAGTTCTAACTTATCTTTTTATTTTGGCAACAGACATGGGGCTTATTTGATCACAGTGACAGCCTCTGGCTTCGTCTAGCAGCAAAATCTCCTCTTCCAGTATTAGATGTACTCACACCAGTCGGCTACCTTCCTTCAGCTTGGCTTGTGAGTTCCACGACAATGCTTTTCGCAATTCTGGGTGCAGCAACACTCGTGTGGATGTCTGTTGGGGTGACGAAAAGAACGCAACGTGCTAGCTGGGAAGTGAAAAGTGATTAAGCTGCTGTAAGTTCGGAAGATACGACACAGTTGTCTGCTACGATGAACACGTATCAAACAAAGCTGTCCCTTTCGAGAAGAATCATTTTGTACTATACGTTGTTCTTCAATACATAAGCTTCCAGATCAATCACAACTCTTTAACTATTGCAGTTTTCCTCAGTCAGCAGTCGTAGCGTAAGTGTAGCATGATCCAGCACCGTGATAGTGTAGTGGTTCATACGTCGAGTCTGCAAGTCTCTTGTTATGGGCGTTGGAGGAAAAGACCCTGGGGTGACAGCGCCCATGAAGTCGTTCATATCCCGATCGTCGTCATCGCAGCCACTGAGCGTGACGGTGGCACGGAAGAGATTAGCTGGGACGTTCGAGTGCATCATCTCTGTCATGCGTCGAAACATCTCGGACGGGATATTCGAGTCCTGTTCCATGTACTCCACGGCCCAGCCAGGCTCAAAGTCATCCTCTGTCCTGTCAGTGTCACTCATAGAATTGCAGTCTGTGTCGTGGTATTGATGTCGTGCACTGTGTGGTTGTCTGTGGCTTGGATCCTCGAGATCAACTGGAGACGTACATGGCGTCTGTGTTCGTCCCTTGTCCGATGGCTCAGCCGCGAAGAAGCGTAAGAGATGCTGATAGAACCGCTTAACCACATGCTGTTCCTGTTCGTGCGCGTCACAGTCAACTGTCGAGGCAGAGGAAGTATCGTTTTCAGTGTGGTGATGCCTGTGTCGGTGACGAAGAAACTGTTGCCTTCTGCACGAGACCTCGTCGAGCTCTTTGGCTACGAGTGATCGCCAGAATTCCGTGAACTGTGCGTCTGAGAGGGAAATGACCGAGTCGGCCACTCTGTTTAGCGAGTTAACTGCTGCAACGGGGAGCTGCGTCTGGAGCTGCATGTACCATTGCAGGATGGACGAGGCGCAGTACTTTGCGCAGCTCCTATCCAGCTGATAGAGCACAAAAGCCAGTGTGCGCAGCAGCGACTTCTCGACGGCAACGACCACTGACATGGCGCCGGAAACGCTACCATTGCTCGCCGAGGATGGCGAGACCCCCCCAGCGCGTCGGCAAACTTCTGTGGCGCCCGTCATGGACTTTGGGCTTGCACGCGCTTTGATTAGTGTCGGCCTGGAGATGGTGTCAGCGGCTGGAAGTGGGAGGCGCGTTCCGGTCTTTCAGTCGAGTTGATATCTTCGTCTTCCCATTAAAGCACGGAATCCGGGGTAGAGTCTATGCCATCCCTCTGAAACGGTCGAGCAGTTGGTGACGACAACAACTGGTGTTGAGTATGGCGGGACTGCGTTTTCTTCCATTTTTGGCGCTTCCCAAGCAGCATTTTGGACTGATCGAACGTAAGATTACTTGCCAAATGTTCCATTCATGGCGGCGCCTCAGTGGGCTAACTACTTAGACTATGAGCATTGAGCGCCATCTCCTCACGGTTCGCTCAGGACATGCTGACATGTGAAACCGTTAATTTAAAACCAACTACATGTACATTGGCCACCTCCAGCGAAATCAACCGTCGGGCAGACGCCATTTCAAATAATTTAAATTGCCCTTGTGCAGTACACTGTGCACAGTGCACGTACTACTAGTAGTAAGTTAGCGCCAACTCTGTGCGGCAAAAGTGACTCGTAGCGTTGGACGGTTGTCGTACCCACTGAACAATTTCCATTCGTCTCCTCCTTTCCCTACATTCGTTTTGCCTTCTCTCCAGAGACTCTGGAACCAATTGACTATAGCTGACGCACACGTTGCTGCTAGCAACTTGCTCCTATATGAAACAGTTGGCGGTGACCCGGGTCACACCAATGACCCGGTACTCAACTATTGTGTCATAAAACATATGCATTATTTAAGTTTCTGTAATCAGGCAATGCCGACTATCCTTTCCTTGCTGCAGCTCTGGATGCACTGCAGCTTCGATCCAACGTCCGAGTTAAGCTAAATGATGTCGTTCTTAAAATATGTGGTGTCGCCTTCAATATCTGAGGTTGCCGATACTGATTGTTGTTATTGGCGTCGAATGCGTGGTCATTAGTCTTCACTGTGCTGCTAGAAGTGCCCGAATTCGAATCATCGATATGCAGGCTGCTTGGTATTTGTGGACGGGGTGTCAGAAAGCGCAGGATAAATGTGAATTTTGTTGTATGAGCTTGTTGCTTCCGAGGTCATCCAATTGGTCGCTTTGCTTGCACTCCTACAGCTACTTCTCTCTTCGTACTTCTTGCACCTTTGTAAGCGTCACTACACCGTTGCCCGTCCAAACTGAGAATAATCTCAAACAAAGTGGACAACATGTTTTTATTAATTGCACTTTTCTTCTTTCGTGATTAAAAGCACCAATGAATCCGAGATTGTTCTCATTCAAAAAGAGACGATCTACTGTACTGACCTAGATACCGTAGACCATGTCGTTCATCTTCTCCACCGCATTCACCGCATCTCAACAGTGCAACTCCATATTCGCCACCAACGTGGGGGTGATGCACTTGATACTCGCTTCAGCCGCCTTCTCCAAGAAGCGCATGGTACGCTCCTTAATTGTCAAAAGATTGCCGTCATCATCCGCCATGTTGCTTCGATCACAAATCTCCTCGCGATACAAAGCAAGATACGCCTTGATCCGTGCTTTTAGGACGGAGAAACAGCCCTCGATGGGGTTGCACATCGGAGAGTAGGGGCCGAGGCGTAGTAGCTTCAGGTCGGCGTGCTCTTCCACCCGCTCTTCTGTTTGGCGATGTGCAGGAGCATTATCCAGGACGATAACAACCTTCTTACCGGCAAAGTTGCTTTGAAAGACAGGAGACGCCTTTACTGTACGGTAGACCTCGTCGATAAAGGCAGTATTTTGGGCAATACGAATACTCCCCCTCTCCAGCCGATGGAGTACAACACCCATAGCTGAGTTGACCGCGCACTGGACTTGCAAGTTGGCCCCTTTTGACGGTGGCATCACCAGTATAGCTCGTTCTCCTTTACGCGCGCGTCCCCGACCACGCTTACAATACACATTGTAGTTAGTCTCATCTAAGTAGATAATACAGTCACCGTCTTTTTGATGGTCCTTCAGAGCTGTCCCGAACTTGGAGCGTTTGGTCTTGTTGATGTCATTGTTGCACGTCATGGGCTCGATGCGTGTCTGTTTTACCGTGTACAACATGCCCAGCAAGTGGCGGCTGATCGTTGAGGTGGAGACTTTAATGCCTGTGTCCATAAAGAGCATCGTACGCATAGCTTCTAACGTAAATGTGCAATTATCGTTGAAGTACTCTTCGAGCTTGTTCCTGGCCTCTTCTGCGATCTTGACGACGCTACCCCGAGCACCGCCGCGTGGCAGATCCTCCACGCGTCCTGAGGCGACAATGCGGTAGGCCACTGCTCGCGAAATGCCGTTGTACTCGGCCACCTGAAGCCAGTCAGCGCGTCCTGCATCATGTGCAGAAAGAACGCGAAGCTTCTCGGCCGGTGTGTGCTTTCGGAGGAGGGGTTGGGAGGGCATCTGCGCTCAAACAGGTGAATTGAGAAGTGAGCTACTTCAGCCTCGTGCGCGGGCTTTCGCGCGCATTTTGGCGCCAAGACGTCTTCACCACCCATACTACGGCTGCCGCCTTTCCTTGTCTTGTTTTGGATGAAATTATTCTCGCTTTGTTTGCTGATTATTTTTGTTTAACTTGATATTCATATTTCACTAAACAAATTGTCCGCTTTGCTTGAAACTAATCTCAGTTTGGACGGGCAAAGGTGTAGTAATGACTCGTCCTTATTCTCGCTGAATGCTGATTCATCCGGATTGTAAGTTAAATACTCGGCAGGAATCGAGAAATATTTTAACGACAACGATTTGCGCTTTACTGCTCAGCTTTCCCAGTGCCAAGTAGCACGCTCAAATGCAGTAAGTCGATTCCGAGGCTTTTGTTTCTTCCGTGGTGCAGTCTGACTCGAGCCACCTGTGCCGTTAGCTCGTCGTTCTGTGGTAGGAGGGTCGCTCATTTGAGCCAACAGTGAAAGGATCGCAGTCCAAACGAGAAATGGTACTTAATTACCTGGTGCTAAAATTAAATATATATTTCAGATTTTGCTCAAATAATAGTTGGTGACCCGGGTCACCGCCAATTGGTTCAGATTTACATTTACTGTGGATGGGCTACATTTGGGAGTGTTTGTTTCAAGCGTACCGTACAATTCGCATTTGTGCGGTGGCTATTCCGCATTAATCCATCCACCATTATGATGCAGAGTGCCGCCATCCGCTCGCTGTTCCGCAGCGCCACGCAATGCTGTCGATCACCGATGATGGCGCTGCATCTGACACGCCCGTCATCGTCGTTCTCGCCGCTGGCCGCGACCTACCGTGTCCGCTTTGGCTCGCAAAGCGTGTTTGCTAAGAGTCTACAGGTCCAGACGTTTGCCTCCATCCCTGGCCGCGACAACGATGACCAGAATCTTCTGCACAATAATAATACCAAGAGTAAGAAGGAGCAGATCCAGGAGCTGATGGAGGAGAATGCGGCGCTCAAGGAGGAGCTGGAGAAGCTCAAGGCCGAGAATGCAAAGAAACCCAACAAGTTCATGGGCACGTTGCAGCAATACGGCCTTCCCTTCCTCGCCTGGTGGACGTCGCTCTACTTGGCCTCCGGTGTGTCGATCTACGTGGCACTGGACACGGGCCTCGTATCAGGTGCCAGCATCATCGACTTTATCATGCAGATCGGCCTGGACAAGTTTATCGACCCGGCCCGTCTCGACCCTACCTACGGCAACATCGCTATCGCGGTGATTGTCAACGAGTTCCTCGAGATCGTCCGCTTCCCCATTACTCTGGCCACACTGCCCTACGCCAAGCGCGTTTTCTCGCGCAAGAAAGAGGAGGCCAAGTAAGACAGTTCATCCATAACAGGAGTGCAACTTTTAGGGCGAATAGAAGAGTGTGTGTTAAGGTCATGCCCCTAAAGAGGTAGATGGTGCTGCAGGGATCTGGGTTATGCCAACTTCCACTGGAAAATGGACCTGTCGTTTCCTCCTACTGAGATCAGATACTTGTCGTCGAAGCTGAAGCGCACATTAGCGACGTGGGAAGAGTGACCTCTACACACAATGAATTTCGACTGTAAATACCATCGCAAAACACATTGTGAGCTGTGTGAAATGACAAATACAAGTCGTAACTAGACAACAACAAGCGTACCCCTTTTGGAATGCAGGGATAGCGGAAGAACTTGACATTGCCAGAGTCATCTCCGGACGCGAGGATTGTACGCGACGCAGACGCACAGACTGCATTGATATCCGTTCCGTCGGCACATTCCGGCCAAATTCCTTGCACCGGCCAACCCAAAGTGCACGTCCACGTTGCCCATTTCACATCCCGCACGGATGATGCCCGACTAATTTGACTACTCGACGCTGTATCGCAGAACAAGTACTCGTATGCGCCACAGTTGGACTGAATGTAGCTGCTGTCTTGTGAAAAATCAAAGTGAGTGATGTAGCTGTTGTGCTTGCTGAATGGCTTCCGCTTCTTGAAGTCGGACGCCACAGAACCCACAGAGTAGAGATGGATCGAGTTGTCATGCGAACCGAGTGCTAGCAGGTCTCCATTTGGAGAAAACTTGACGTCACTGATCCACTCCTTCGCTGGTTTGTCTTCAAACACGAATGTCTCCATGTCCAGATCACTTGCTCGCAATACAGCGAAGCCTCCTTCTCTCGACTGCTGCCCCTGTTTAGATGCCGGCTTTCTCCTCTGTCGAACACCATTGTCACCGCCAAAGCCAACCGCTAGCAGTTCGGAATCAGGTGAGTACGCACACGCACGAGCTTTAGCTGGGAGTAAGTGCGCTTGGATCAACCTCTTGGCTTCCATATCCCACACACGCAAAGTTCGGTCGTCACCAACTGTGACGAACTCGCGCTGAGAAGGATGCACAGCTAGACCCCACAGCTCCATCGTGAAGTGACCGGAAAATAATGGCTGGCCGCCGTTCAGCGCACCTCCACTTACCACGTCTATCTCGATAATGTCACTGGAGCACGTACCAACAAGCAGTTTCCTACCAGTTGCGCTTAAAAACACACTATTGATGACTTTGCCAAAGCTGCCAACGTGCATTGCGCCCAGATCGAAACATTTGAGCGACTGGTACGCAGAGTTCCACATGACAACTCGCCCATCTTTTCCGCCTGACAAAAGTACAGCGGATGTTCCAGTCGAGTTGTCACTCTGAAGTGTACTTGCTACGACTCGAACTTCTCCTTCATGTGCCTTTACCGTTCGTGAGAGACCATTGCCTCTCCATACATACAACTCACCGCCTGCTGTGCCTGTAACAAAGTCCCCTCCGAAGTTACAACCGGTTGGAAATGTTTGTAAAGTGCCCTTCTTGCCAACAATTCCTTTCTTCGAAACGATCGTTTTCCCTTGGACAGACCAAAACAGCACGTGCTTCACGCCGCCAGTGACGATCGTATCGCCGTTTACTCCAAAAGAAGCAAAGCGATTCACTGCTTTATCGCCTTTACCAGTAGCCAGAAGTTTTGTCAAAGTCCAGGATCCATTGCTAGCATCGCTCCAAACCGCCAACGAGTGATCGTCGTCGTCTCCCACACTAACCAGCCTCGTTGAGTCACTACTAAAGGCAAGTGACATGATTCCGCGCGAATGAAACTCCTTCATTTCACAGCGTAACTCGCCAGTATGCGCGTCCCAGACTCGCAACGCTGGCTTCTTCCCGCGCTCTCCTGTTGCGATAAGGTTACGTTTGGTATCACAGAGTGCGAAGCTGATAATGTCGTCGTTGTGCCCGATGTGGTGTCTTTGAAGGTGGTTCGTTGAGTCATAGATGATCCCCACAGCAGCTGTGTGATACACGATCTCGTCGTGTGTGTTATACACCAAATTTTGTTTTGACAGCTCCGATTGATACCCGTACACCCATTCCAATTCCACTTTCAAGTCTGGCTCACGCGAGTTTGGCGTAGCAGCGTTCGTGGGGGCAACGATGGCTCCTATCCAAGGCTTCACAGCCATAAACTCATCACCAGCAGAGTCGTCAAAAGATTCTTCCTCCGATTCCAAGGACGAGTCTGTAGCGTCTTCTGATTCCATTGAGCTCAATAGTTTATCAGGTCTAGAATCTGCTGAAATCTGCTCGCCGTCGCTCAAGACTCGCCACTCCATGACCGATCGATCATTTCCGCCAATACTAACGACGTAGCTATCGTCATGAGACCACCGAACGTTGGTCACATGAGACGAATGTCCACGATGATCAACTGAGCTCGCATTCTTCGCCACACAAGGATAGCGATACAGCTTGACGATACCAAAATCATCCGACGTGACCAAAAGGTTTTCCCGAGAATTGCGCGAAACAGCATTGACATCCGTGCCATCGGAACACGGCGGCCAAATGCCTTGCACTGGCCATCCAAGCACACATGTCCAGGAATGCCATGGGGTATTTTTCGTGCTGCTTGCAGACGTGATATGTTTACCCGTATGGGCATTACTAAAGAGAAGCTCGTAGGCACCACAGTTACTCTGTAGCACTTGACCATCCACTGAGAAGTCCAAGTGCGTAATATAGCTCTGGTGCTTATCAAAAACTGCTGCTTTCACGACTTTAGTCGCATTGCGGTCGAGACGATACAGATAAATTTTGTGGTCATGCGATCCGACCGCAAGAACGGAGCCAGTCGGCGAGAACTTCATCTCACTAATAGCTTGCTTGGACGGCCGATCTTCGAACACTTTCTTTGTTAAGTCAGTATAACACAGCAGGACGATGCCGCCAATTTTCGCTTGAGCTGCTTTCGATAATCCATTTATCGCGTTACGTCCGCCAAAGCCAATCGCCACGATGTCAGCTGGATCTGTCAGTGCACAAGCACGTGCTACACATTCCAGTCTCTGAATTCTCAATTGAGTTTTCTTGACCAAGCACCACACTCGGATAGTCTGATCATCACCAACAGTGCAGTATTCCGGCTTCACTGGGTGACAAGCAAGACCCCAGACCTCAACTCGGCAATGTCCACGAGTGATCGTTGATAGCGTTGGCTGAGCGCGACCAGCATCGAATTCGACGAGATCGCTTCCTCCGGTACCAACTAAGAAGAGTCTGGGCGAGACTCTACTGGAGCAAACACTTCGAATCTCCGAGTTTAAGAGCTTGGATCCTTGAAGTGTGCACTCCTTCATATCAAAAGATGCTACTTTGTTGAACTGCGCGTCCCAAACAGCGATTTTGGAGTCCTTTCCACCACTAATCAGCTCTCTCTTCGTTGCATAAAGAGCTAGTACCGCACTTTCATGGGCTTGAACAGTCTTTGTGACCTCCACAGAGCTTTGAAACACTACGAGATGGCCGGTCGAGCCACCTGCGACAACCATTTGTCCAAAAGAGACGACACAGTCAAACGCGGACGGAACTTTGCCACTTTGATACGCCTTCGTGCCGAAAATTGCTTTCTTTGAAGTGAGATTCTTCCCTTGCTCTGTCCAAAAGCGAATATGCTTGTCACCACACGTTACCCATTCCTTAGTAGCAGCGTGGTAGCACATACCACGCACGTTGTTACGTTCTCCACGAGATTGCGACGACAACACCCCACTCTGCCAATTGTAAATCGCGATGGAATGGTCATCGTCGCCGCCCACACTCCCAAGTTTACTGCCATCGCTTGAATAACAGATAGCATTCACAAACCGCTGATGGAATCCTTCAAGACACGGCGCTACAGCTACTCCACTTGCAGAATCCCAGACGTAAATCTTGGGTTTCTTACCCATTTGTGAAGTAGCGAACGTAGTGCCGTTCGGATGAGCACATAAGGCAGCGACATCGTCGTCGTGACTTCTGAAAAATGATTGACGTTGAGCCGCTTTGTCGAACACGATACCGAGGGCGGCAGTATGGTACACCACCTTGCCATTGGAGTCGTATCTGGCATTATTTGAGGCTGTTTGAGCTTGATACCCGTGCACTCGCTCCAGTTCCAGCCTGGTATTCGGAGACGTGCTGTCTACTTTCATTGATGCAGCTTTCGTAGGAGCCACAACGGCTCCGAGCCATGGACGCACTGCCATAAATTCATCGCCAATGTCATCGTTCGTAGCGGCCACCTCCAAAGGATCATCGGCTCTTCTTTCAAGGTCGTCGATGTCGTCATAGTCGCTCTCAGTCTCACTCGGACGACGCAAGAAGATATCCTTTTGAACGGGTTGCTTGTCATGCTCCCAGACGAAGACACACCTGTCGTTTCCACCGACTGAGACGATGTAGCGATCACCAGAAGACCATCTCACGCCGGTGACATGAGAAGCGTGACCACGCAGTTCGAGGGACGAAGATTTCTCCAAGGCACAAGGATACTGGAATACCTTGACTTTTCCAAAATCATCTCCTGTTGCCAAGAGCTTCCCATTATTAGAGCGATCGACAGCGTTCACGTCAGTACCATCACTCTCCGCTTCCCAGATGCCTTGCACCGACCACCCCAACGTGCTAGTCATTGTGTGCCATATCTCATCTCGAAACGTTGTGGCATTAGTGACGTGTTTTCCAGTTTTCACTTCAGTAAACAACAGCTCGTATCCACCTGAAGTGCTCTGCAAGTAGTTCCCATCCAGTGAGAAGTCCATGTGTGTGATATAGCTCGAATGCTTGTTGAAAACATGTGTCCGAGAGAAGCCCTTAAGCACGTTGTACAAGTAGATCTTGGAGTCGTGACTTGCTACGGACAGCGTTCGATTGTCGGGCGAAAATTTGACATCGCTCACCCATCGTTTCGCATCAAAACAAGGTTCTTTCGCGCAGGATAAATCAGTGGCACTGTACACCACGAAGCCCCCGTTAGGTTGTTGTTTCTTCGCATTGGCAGCAGGATTTCCCGTTTTGCCAGAGCCTTCGGTACCAAGACCAACTGCGATTAATTTGCCATCTCCAGAGTAAGCACAAGCTCGTCCCGGGATCGGTAACTCTAGGAATCCCAGCTCGAACTTCTCTGCCAAGTCCCAAACGCGCAGTGTCTGGTCGTCTCCAACCGTACAACATTGCTGCTTTGTCGGATGAGTATCCACTCCCCAAAGTTCTCCTTGAAAATGCCCTTTGGTGAGTGGCTCCGAGTGGATGTTTTGTCCGGTCTTAGCGTCAAGTTCATAAATCTCGGACGCCAAAGTGCCGACAAGAATGGCCCGTCTATCAGGAGAATAGCAGCAGCTTCGTATTCCCTTGCGTTGGGGTAGCACAGCAGATTCAAGTGAGTTCTGGATCTGGGCTGGAGAGCCTACTTGCTTCAGTTTATCATCCCACTGAATTATCTGACCATCTCGTCCACCGGAAAGCAGCAGTCCTGAAGCGTAATACAACGCAGTAATCGCTCCTTCGTGCGCTTTCACGACGTTTGTCAGTTGTCTGCCCGCAAACAAGTACAAGCAGCCATCACTCGTACCAACCACCACAGCTCGGTCTGTTGTTTCGAGGTATTGAGCCACAGGAAAAGGCTGAAGAGACCCTTTCTTTCCTAGTAAACCTTTTTTCGACACAAGCTCCTTCCCTTGAAGAGACCAAAACTCGACGTACTTTTGGCCACACGTGACAAACTCGCTAGACACGCGAGGGTTCGTCGTGATGTGAAACGGAGCCGCTTTGTTGCCTTTCACTGCTATCTTCAGAGCTGCGGACTTCCAATTGTTGCTCGACTCGTAAACTGCAATGCTGTGGTCGTCATCTCCACCTATAGACACCAACATTTCAGGACTCAGGAAAGCTAGTTGTAAGATGCCACGCTTGTGGAATCCTTGTACGATGCACTGATCATCCATCGTTTCCAGATTCCAGACTATAATCTTTGGCTGTTTACCAATTTCGCCGCTTGCAGCTAATGGAAGACGTGGGTGGAGACACAAGCTCAGAATGTCGTCTGTGTGGGAAAGATGATGCCGCTGGGTCATGGTCTTCGTGTTTAGAACCACACAAGCTGCTGCGGCTGGGTAGACGATCTCTTCGAAGCGTCCAGCTTTAGCGTTGGCTGTCGTTGCTGCGAAGCGCACGTTGTTCTTGCAGTCTTGAGCACTATATCCGAATATCCAGTCCAGCTTGACTGAGACCAACGGAGCTCCTTTAGAGAGCGGTGGGATTTTGGTTGGGGGCACAATTGCTCCAATCCACGGCTTCACGGCTAAAAACATGTCTCCAACATCGTCTTGTATAGTGTCCATCGGTATGTCTACGACTGCTGAAAATTCTATTGGCTCAGAGTGTTTTTCAAGTTTAGCCAGTAACCCAGGCGACATTCCTTCCTCCTCATGATCAACAATACGCTTCTCTGGACTAGAGTCTGCCACATCAAACAAGTCAAGCAGCTCTTTTGCTCGTTTGTTTTTCATGCAGAATTCACGAAACTGTTCACAGGTAATGGTAGTCGACTCCTCGAACCCTTTCTCCTTGGACGATGAAGCCCCACAGTTAGCAATTTCTCGAAAAATCGACTCTGCGAGCATAATGATCTCCTCCTCATCTACCGCTGTGTCTGAAGTTGTCGCGTTGCTGTTCGAAGTTGGTTGGATAATTTTCGCCAGTCCAGATATAGTGGACTTCAGTGATATTGTGAACTCGTCTAAGTCCAATGCTCCGTCCTCTGACATATCCCACGAATCGAACAGCAAGTCGATCTTCTCGTCCAGCGGAATGGCGGCGATGAATGCAATAGCCGAGAGGAACTCGAGCGCGTCAATCGCTGCCATACTGTCGCTTGGGCTCTGGTACTGCTGACTCTGTAGTCCTCGAGCCCCCGGTTGCCCTTGCTGCCACCTTCTCTGCATCAATGAGTCTGTGAACAAATCAAATGCACCGTCGGCATACTCTGTAATGCGTGCATTTGAGCCGTGCAGACTGGAAACGCCCGATACGACAGCACGGCAGCAGATGACGCGCAACTGAGTTTTGGACAGCGCGAAGCTCGTCGCTGAGTCGTAGAACGCGCGCCAAAATGCCTCAATTTCACGAAGACGTAAGTTGTCGAAGGGGAGAATGGCATCCGCCAGCGCCACAGCCTGATGGTCCTTCACAGCTGTGAGCAGCAGCGCGTTGCCCATGTCCGATTCACTCGATGATCGCAACCTTTCGCGGCTTCAACTTTTAAATTTCCACCAATGATAACGAGGTATGGAAAGGACTGGTAATGCACTGTTTTGACCAATCATATCGCTCAAGAAGGCCACGGGAGAACCCATAGCCACTCAAATAGCGACAGTATCGAGCGAATATGGCCGACATCCAGAACTTCCAGACCTTCGGTGCGTTATTGTGGCGAGTATAGGATGACGCGCTGAACGCGCTTTTGTCAGGATGATGCGTAGCGATGTGCTGATGCTGTTCCTCCTGTTTTTCGGGCTGCAGATGCCTTTGCTGACGCCAAGGACGACTCGAGCATCGGCGGCGGCAAGGTTCACGTGCGTGTGCAGCAGCGCAATGGCCGCAAGTGTCTGACGACGGTGCAGGGCTTGGCTGACGACCTGGACGTGAAGCGTATCCTCAAGGCCTTCAAGAAGAACTTCAGCTGCAACGGTGCCATCGTCAAGGACGACGAGCTTGGTGAAATTATTCAGCTTTCGGGTGACCAGCGAACCAACATCCGTGAGTTCCTGCTGGACCAGGAAATTTGCATGGATAGCCAGGTGGTGTTGCACGGTTTCTAAGCCGGTTGTAGTACCCCAGGTGCTGGATCTCTTAGCTGCCGCTGCCTGCAGCGTCTTGACGTTGTGATACGAAACAGTTAGATGAGAGGGGGGGAGACCAGGTGGTAGACCCCGCTTCCTACCTCTCAGCGGTTGTTGAAGGAATATATTTGATGCTACATTTGTTGAAAGGGTCCTGCGTGTAGTGCCATTGAACACTCGGAGCTGTAAGTTCTTGCACGACAGTTGCAATCCTCGATCTGGTAGCAGGGCTGCACCATCGATACTCTTCCAACCTATTAGCATCGACATCTACGTGCGGTCGCTGATCTTGAATTCCGGAAAGTCGAGGTCCGGCTGCCAGATTCCCTGAGCGGTTGGGCGCTTGGTGAAGACTGGCTTCTTGATGTGCGTCATTTTACGGCCGCTTGAGTTGCGAAGGCGCTCCAGCTGCACAATCACACCAGCAACAAAATTGCGACAAAGTCGTCAGCATTACTATCACTAGGCAGCAGCAATGCAGCGCTACGATCGTTCCTTGTGTAGAGTGCATGGGTGGCATTTTCATAAGCTGCAGTCACACTTTTAAATCCGTACCTGCTTCATGATGAAGGGAATGTCCTGGTTCTTAATATCCGACACCTTGCGCTCATTTGTCACTATAATAACGCGTCAAAAAAATGTTTAAATTTTCAATTGTAACCTCAATAGTGCCTGTTGTACGCACCGTAGTCTCCAATGAGGATGGGGTGACGAGCACCTTTGAGCTCCGTCTCGAACTGCACTTGCGGATTTTCCTCGACAAACTTAACGAAACGCTCATCACCTAGAAGCTGTCGAACGTAGCGACTGCTGCCGCCGTGCTGGCAGTAACGGATCGTCACCTGCTTGAGCTGCCACACACCCTTGGTTGCCATCTTGTCGTGTGGGGTCAAGAGTGAATCGTTTGGCTTAAAACGTTTTATGTGCGCCACACCGTCTTTAACTCCGCTGAAGTGCGTGCTACTTCAACGTACTTAAACGAGAGCCCGCATTCAAAGTGCAACATTTTGTCGATCAATGGCGACACGCTCGAGTGCTGAGGAGGCCGAGAAGAGCGACGTGGACAGCTTACTGCGGCTTGTACGTGCTCATCAGCGCCAGCATGATGACCGTGCCTATGAATCAAGCGCTCCTGCCGCCATCCGACGCTGCAAGACCATGCTGACCAAGCTGCGCAAGATATTACCAAAGCTCATGCGGCCCGTGGCGACGCTGTCGACGGATAAAGCCGTGCCCGTGCTGCAAGATTTGTGTCAACTACTGAATCTTCTGCTGGGAGGTGGCGCATGTCCGCACTCAATGACGCTGTTTATGGAAAGCAACGCGAATGTGGCTCGTGGAGAGGCGTCAGGCTTCCCGTCCTACCCGACTATGGCCACGATGTTATTCTATATGGTGTCGTTCTACACCAACGACAAGCTACGGGAGGCACAGCGAGACGTTCGCGACGTAACGCTGCAAATGGTGCTGTTCCTGCAGAGAAACGATGTGTATGGGTTTATTCACTTCTTCCGTGACACAGTGCAATTGCTAGAGGACTGTTTTTTACTGGAGGAGTCGTTAAAGAACCGAGACTCGACGGACACGTTGCCTGGTGGAGCGAGCGTTGCCTGCTACTTGGATACGGCGATTCACGTGTACCAAGATGCAGATGGACCGCTCGGCGCAAAGAGCAATGTTACGCTGTGTGGATGCATGCCGATTACAGATGTGAACCAGCTTTACGAACGCAGAGAGCAGTTAAAGAAGATGCTGCCGTCTATTCACGTCAGTTCGTATGGTATGGTTGTGGCGCTTCGGCAATCGGTGATAGTGCTAGCGGATCGGATCGTTCGAGAGCATAACGCGATGCTGGAAGGCGACCAGTGTTTCGACAGACTATGCCAACTGGTAGAATTGTTTATCAGTAAAAATGAAGAACTTGCGAAAAACACCGGCGGGGAGAGCATGAACGGTGCTGTATCGAGCCAAGACGCGGACGAAGTCACACGAAGCACACTTCGATTATTGCTCACCATCTTGCAAGTCAGCGTATCCACTGAAAGACGGTTTGTCCGCTTGAGTTTGATGTACTTGAAGGACAGCTTTCTTCGTGGAGCGAATGCGCGGACATGGAAGGCCTGTGCTGCCATCCTTGAGCTAATTAGTACGTCTTATCCTCGTCTCTCCAAGTTTGCCAGCGATGCGTTATGGCCATGTTTCGAGTCGTGGGTATACGGGAATATGGATCAGGTTCGTGGGGCTGGTCGTGAGAGAAAACACATCGTGGAATCGATTTGGATGGCTGTCCTTTCGATTTTGGATGTGTACACTCGCCAGTCGAAAACTGCGTCTGCCGCTTCATTATTTATTGACATGTTGGAGCTTGTCGATCTAAAAGTATTGAATCCAGCAATGACATCAAGTGTCATAGATAAAATCCACTACGTGCTCTCGGCGAAGGAAATGCTGACGAAAGTGGTTCGATTCATATCGAAGGAATTAGCCGGAAATGGGCCAAGCGCGATGAATCTAAGTCAAAGCGCCAGCGCGTCAAGGAAGCGGAAGCGAAATAATTTGTTATTGGATACACGAGATTCATCTGCCGGATTGCGTCGAGATAACACCACCGAGTTGCACGAAAAGTTAGGTCGATGGCTACTTGATCTTATTTCTTTTGATAGTGGCAGTGATCGAAAGAGCATACTGGGTATCTCCACTGGTTTGCGGGTGATTCTGCCTCTTCGTCGCTACATCGCAGCTTTTGCACGACTAGAGAGTTTTGCCATTTTCCGAGCTCTTCTCCAGCGTGTCGATTTGATTGTGAACACTTACGCGCCGTCACTCACATCCCTTACTAGCGAATACTTGGATTTATGGATCATCTTGCTGCGGTATTTTGACGATCACGAAATCGAAAAGTATCGTGGTCTGCTTACCAAAGTTGTGGAGAGTGTGGAGACTCAAAAGATTTTTGAACGTAGTTTAGAACGGGACAACGCGTTCGTTGAGCCAGACTGTTGGGAATACTTGGATTTTCTACAGTTATACCAACGTCACCCTAAGTGCCACGACATGTCCCTGTCGGAGAGGCTCGATGAAGTGTCGTACGAATATGTTCGGAGCGCAGATACTGTACTCGAGGTTCTTTTCCGAAAGTCAGTGGCCCTCCGTGGTCCATTCTTGGTATACTTTGTGTGGTCACGTCCTGCGACGCTCAATATCGTCGCCGAGGATTCGTGGCGGAATGCTCTACCATGGAGGATTGTTTACCGAGCGATATTGCAAGAAACGTCGCTTGATGTGACAGTGTGTTCCTACCTTGCTATGGCTCCACTTCTCGCTTTCTTTGTGGTGGCTGGATCTCTAACCTCCCCAAAGAAGATGGCTACTTGCATCATGGAAGCCTTTAATAGCAAAATTCAGCGCACGGGATCAGATGCAATTTCGTCGGCGATAACTCAAGCGTGCGGGGCGGTACTCTGCGCAACGGCATACGGTCAAGCATCCGCTGAGGGGGTGCATTATTTCAATGACAGAAGAGCAAGTGCCGTTTGTTGTCACTCCAAAAGCTGCCAATGTCGAAAGATCGCTGATGGTTGTCAAGCGATGCCGATCCCATTATCGTTGTTCGAGCCAACGATTTGTGGTGAGATTGGCAGTGCTACTGAAATCATGCAGGTCGTCAAAGTCAATGCATTGTCGAGCGTTTTTGAGCATTGTGAGGTTGATTATGGTAACGATTACACTGCCAAGCGATTCGTGGAGTACCTTCTCACGTGCTTCGAGCATCGCTCCAAGCTGGTCCGTCAAGCTGTACTAGAATCGATTGCCCACCAACCTCGACTTCTAGATGCAATGATCGACCCAGCGAGAGATGGACTTACTGGACTAATAGAGCGATTGGAGGGTTACATGACGGCGGCTGAAGAAAGTAACGATGATAACGAGATCGCAGAGATGATGTTGGCAGCGGGCTCTATTGGCTGTGAATGTGACCCGCACCAACGTGATCGTGGGGATAATTGCACGTGGATTCTTTTACGACTGGTATCTCTATGGAATCGGTTCATGTTTTCGAAACGTTCGCGATGCGCAGTGATGGCTTACTCCCAGATTTGCCGTATCACAATGCACCACGGCTTGTCGTGGAGACGGTTGTGTGTAGATTTTCCTGAACTGCTCTACTTTCCCCTTATCGATGGACTATTGGAAACTCGAAGTCTTACGCTGTTTCTCCGTACTTTTATGGGCGGGAAAGTTGATATTAAATTTTTCTTGAAAGCGAGTGCGCCGTACGTTCTTCCGAAGTACGTTGTTCATCAAAATGAGCATATGCTGCATGCGTTTGTGGCCGAGTTTAACGGGACAGAAGAAGATATTGTAATGGCTGGCGATGGCGCGGATGAAGCACTGCAGATGAATGTCACTAATCTCCTCTTGAACCATCTCGACTACGTGTTGAGAGATTTGCTTATCCATCAAGTGCAAGCAGTCTCGAATGAAAACCGGTTGGCGGAATGGGAGTTTTTACTCAAGTTCTTGCCAGAGAACTCGACAGTCCGTGATGTGATTGTACACTCCTCGCTGCGACTAATGAACTTACTCGCGTGGGAGCTTGGTGGGCCTCAATCTCGTATGGCCAAACGTGCTATGCGAGAGGTTGCAAATTGCTTGAATGAGGATGCAGGGGAAGCAGAAACCATCGAACAGGTAGCGAGTCTTCAGCCTGGAGAAGGATGCATGCCCCGACAGTTTTTTCTGGCGCTCATGACGGATCTAGGCAATCGAATCAGCGGCAAAAACTCGTCAGCTATGAAAATTCGTGCGATCAAAAGCATTGAGTGCTTGCTTGATCTTTACGGTGGCTCCTCTGCCGACACGCAAAACAGTGGGGTCGTGGATCCATTTGTTCCAAAAGTGATGGCAACTCTAAAAGTTGGTCTGACGGAGCATGGGTTGCAAGAGCATGCCATTCAAGCGTGGGGAAATTTTCTACAGATGCTGTCGACGAAGGCTTTGGAAGCGAACCTGAGCTCTATAGTTGTCAGCTTGCTCTCATGCCTCGGCCACGAGTCCTCGGCAATTTTAATTGAAGATGCATCGATTACTGGTAGTCAATGTTGGAATGTCGAGTCGTTGGAGAATTTTAGGCAGGATGGAACTGGGCGAGTCGGCTCGCTAGGTAGCCGGGATGAAGCTCAGATGAAATGTATGACAGCGGCGGTGGGTATTTTACGCTATCTGTTTATTGACAAAGGAGCTGAACTGAAGCCTTCTTTCCCGAAGATCCCGTTGTTGCCGTCTATTCCAGAACTTGATGAGATTTACGCTGTTCTCTACGAAGAAGATGGAGATCCAAGATGCCGGCCTTTACGAGAATATTTGATGAACCTATCGGCGTATGTCAATCATCTTGACGTAGCGGTTCGTGAAATGGCACTAACGCAGCTGCTGCGTTGTTTGGTTGTACGGGGTGCGGAGTTAGAGACGCTTATGCAGAATGAAGGAGATATCTTCATCGACCAAGCGCTTGCTAGCGTAGTCCAGTCAATTCTGCAACTTTCTCGCTCGGAATGCCACGAGCCTATCAAGCTGCTATGCGCTCGATGTTTGGGTGCTCTGGGTGCAATTGATGGCGCCCGTGTGCCTTTACACATGTTCTACACATCTGGCCCCCAAGGAGGTGCTGCAGTCGCGAAGGAGAAACAGTATCAAAAGATCGAGTACTCAACGAAGGATCTAGCTATTGTACTGATCGAGAAATGGCTGGTTAAAGAATTGCGTGCAGCACCCGAGAACACGGACTCGCTAGCATTTGCTATCCAGGAATTGCTGAAGTTTCTGGCAGAGTTGACAGCTGATCCGCAGCATAGCGGCCAAAGTCTGTCAACGAATAATTTTGGGTCATCGTACAAGTCAAGACAAGATTCCAGCACCCCCATGCCTGACTGGATGAAAAGACGATTTGATCGAAAAGATGTTCTCCAGTTCGTAGAACCTTATTGGTCAACAAACTACGCCGTGTTGGGCGGTAGATCTTCGCATCGCAATGGTAGCAGTGGCTCTGATCATCGATCATCGGCAAGCACTGATCAGAATCTGAATCCGGTGCGTGATGATATTTCGTTTTATGAAATGTACGGGACGTCATATGAAGACTGGATTCTAAATTGGTGTCGACGATTAATTAGCCTTTCTCAGCCACCTGAGCGGAAGATCTTCTTGGCATGCAGAACGGCGCTTCCAACGTGTCCTCAGATATCTCGATTTGTACTTCCTTATCTGATTCAAAATGTACTTCGGTCGGGGAGACCTGAAGTTGGTAAAGAGCTTAAGAAAGAGGTCATGGCTGTTTTAGATGATCAGGACTGCGGTGTTTTGGTGGATGATGTTCTAATGGCTCCTCCTGAATCCGAGCACACGAATGACTCAGTAACTAGTACTGGTGGTGCATCTGACAGAGGTGTTGGTGAATTTTTTCGACGTCATGATCAATGCTCCCAAACCATTTTCTCGACTTTTGATGAGCTGAACGAGTGGATTTGGACTAGCGAGAAGAAACGGCTCGCTCTAAGCGCCAGTGCTGCCAGTCGCCAAACGTCTGCGTCTGGGCGCAGCGATGTGGCCTCAGACATCGACGATGACCGCGAAAAGGAATTTCTGGAAGAGTTTGTAAAAGGCATCCCCAGCCGGTCATTGTCGAATGCTGCGTACCAAATTAAAGCGTATGCCCGAGCAGTTCAGTACTTTGAAGTTCATCTACGACAGGAAGAGTTTAACGAGACGGAGCCACGAAGCACTGGTGTCGAGGTGGCTGGCCCGATCCGTCTTTCACTGGTCTCGAAGAATGCCACTTATCTCCAACAGCTCTACAAAAGTGTGGACGAACCGGACTCGTTAGTAGGTTTAGCCTCATTGCGTCGCTTGCACGATGCACATCGGCACAACGATGTCGGAACCGACATGAATGACGAGGCTCAGGAAGAGGGGCTGACTCTCACTGACTTGATGCATGAGATCGTCGACCACGAACAGCTTGCTCAATGGGAAGACGCACTGGCTTGCTATGAACAAGCAATTCAAGAAATCCAGTCCGCATTGTCATTTAAATCGCTACCTCCGACCAGGCCGCTTTATAGTCAACTCGCAATGATGCAACCACCTGCCCAAATTCTGGATGCGGAAAACGCACACAAAGATCCAGATATGATAAAGCCCGAGCTATATGGAGGAATGATTGGTTGCTTGATCCAACTCGGGCGTCTTGAAAGTGCCTTGCAGCATATCAACGGCATCGTGACGCAAGAACCTCAATTCATGGCGACAATGTATCCGTATGCTCTCGAGTGCTCGTGGCGCTTGTCGCGTTGGGAGTTGCTGACCGATCTGCTGAGTACTGAAAAGCAAAACCCGCTACTTCATTTATCAGGAAGCTCAGTTCATGACACTGCGAGTACTCGACTGAAGGGCTTTGACGTTTCGCAGTTGATGCTGGTTCGTGTACTGCATAGCTTACATGGTGGTCAACAAGAAGAATTTCAGCGTCACTTGAAGGCCGCGCGATTAGAAGTGATGGGACCGCTGGCTGCGGCGTCGGCTGAGTCTTACCAGCGCGCGTATCCTCTGCTACATGATCTCCACTTTCTACACGAGGCAGAGCAAGGGTTTATTTTCTTGCAGAATGCGAAGGAGAGCGACGACCTCAGTCGACGCAGTTTACTCTGGAAAAAGCAGACTCCTTGGAATATACGGTATGATGCGATGGCAACGCAGCTCAAATACCGTGACCCGATACTCGCGCTACGTCGAGTAATCTTGCACGAGGCAGGGCTTCGAAATGAAGTATCGGAGAACTGGTTGGTGTACGCCAAGCTAACCAGAAAAGAAGGGTTCATTCGTACTGCTACCAGTGCAGTGATGCATGCCCAAGCAATGAACAATCAGTATGTTTCGATCGAGAAGGCCAAACTGCTGGTGAGTCAAGACCGAATGTACGAGGCGTTGCAAGTTCTCGAACCAGTTGACATCGATGCGTCTACGTTGGATTATGACGTTGAGGACCCGCACTTGTGCGCCAAGAACCTGCTCTTAGCGACCAACTGGATGCAGAAATCAGGTCAACGTCAAGGGAAGAAGGTGATCGAGCGATATCAAGCTGTTATTCGCTTTGATCCAAAGTGGGAGAAAGGCTATTTCTTCCTGGCGAAGTACTACGAGTATCTGCTGAATATGAGCCACCCCGACGCGCTTAACGGATCCATGAGTAGTGATGAAGCGGCTGATCTGCTGCTTGATTCGGTGTTTCACGGCTACTTGATCAGCTTGATGAAGAATTACGTTCAAGCGCTCGCACACGGGACAAAGTTCGTGTTTCAGTCTCTTCCACGATTATTGACGCTGTGGTTCGACTTGAGCGAAGTACTGTACGGAAGCAGCAGTGGGCGGTCGAGCAACAAAGCGAACAAGGCAACGAGGCAGATCGAGATCGGGCTGAGTCAGTCCACCAACGAGCACAAGGTTCTCACTGGCATTACTCAAGTTGTGGATGAAGCCATTGAATCTTTGCCGGCGTATGAGTGGCTAGTGTGCTTTCCACAAGTAACATCGCGCATTTGTCACCCCAATCCAGATGTAGTCGACAGTGTCAAGAGGATCATGGTTCAAGTGCTCCTGGCTTATCCAACGCAGGCTATGTGGTCGCTGCTAGGACTCTCGCGTTCGTTGAACTCACAGCGGAAGAATCGTGCGCGTGAGATCATCTCAAGTGCACAAAAGCAATTTCTGCACCAAGGCTTAAGAGAGATTGCCGATAGCTTCTCTGAGGGCATGAAAATGGCAGAGGAACTCATCAGTCTTGCAGCCCACGACCCTGGCAACAGTAAACGTAAGATCCACATCAGACTGAGCCGAATCCGGACCAGAATTCTCGTTCCAATCCAGGCGGCGCTGACCACGATCCTGCCGACATCTGGACTAGCCCCTCGCGATGAGCATCACGTTGCTTTCTCATCGAACGCACAGGTCTACATCAAAGCTTTCAGTGACAAGGCAGATGTTATGATGACCAAGGAGAAACCCAAGCGCATTGAAGTTCTGGGCACCGATGGGCAGCTGTACCCGTTCTTATGCAAGCGAGAAAAGAACGGTGATCTCCGCAAGGACGCGCGTATGATGGAGTTTAACTCGATGATCAACAGGCTCCTTCAGAAAGATCGAGAAGGTCGCAAACGTAAATTGCGGCTGCGTACATACGCCGTCGTGTGCTTGAATGAAGAGAGCGGACTCATGGAGTGGGTGCGACACACGAGGGCGATGCGGCAGCTCATCGGCCAGATCCACAAGACTGAGCGCGGGTATATCCAGCCTGTTCGACTTACGCATGAGATCAAAGAGCAGTACCTCCATATGCAGAAGAAATACGCGAATAACCCTGCTGCGATGGCGCGGTTCTACTGCCGAGAAGTGCTGTCGATGCCGGTATTCACGCCGAGGTTTCACCAGTGGTTTTACAACAATTTCGCCGATCCGACTGCATGGTTCGAGGCTCGACTCATGTTCTCGCGGTCAGCAGCTGTGTGGTCTATGGTGGGGCACATCGTTGGACTTGGAGATCGTCACGGGGAGAATATTCTGATCGACTGCACCAACGGCGAGTGCGTGCACGTGGATTTTGACTGTTTATTCGACAAAGGTCTGAAGCTGACAAAGCCAGAGATTGTGCCATTTCGGTTGACTCCCAACATCATTGACGCCTTCGGGATCACAGGGTACGAAGGTGTCTTCCGTCGCGTGAGTGAGGTGACGATGCGGTTGCTGCGAGAGAACAAGGCGACGCTGCGCAGTGTGCTGGAATCTTTTATTCATGATCCACTCGTGGAGTGGGGTCGTCGTGGTAAAACTACACAGAGCGACGCTGTCTCCAGCAAAACTGCGGCTGAACTCTCCAGTGAGCGTAGTAAACAGGAGACACGTCTTGTCCTCAGGGCCATTGACGATCGGTTGCGAGGCATCTACAACCTCGGCGATGCCATCCGCCCGCTTGTGTCGTCATCACACCGCAACATCCTACCGGAGAACGAAACGCTGCCATTATCAGTGCAAGGCCAAGTCGACAAGCTCATCGACGAGGCCACATCGAACGAAAACCTCGCCCAAATGTACATCGGGTGGATGCCGTTCCTCTAAAGCCACTTCAACTTGGTGCAGTAAAAACGTTAAAAACAAGTCATTCGGTTTTAATCACAGGTTTGACTCGTTAAAAACAAAATGACATTTTACCCGTAAAAATTGAATTGAGCAACGATGGAGGTGATCGCAGTCGGTACCGCCGCCATCGACGTGGTTCACGAAGTGGCCGCGTACCCTGCAGGTTCGCTTAATCATTTAAAGTAAAATGGCAAGAGCTTTTTGAGCTCACTTTATCGTGTACAGAGGACACCAAGGCGCGATCATTGGCAGCGTACAAGTGCAGAGGCGGAAATGCCGCCAGTGCCCTGGTACGCGTACCTAGCATAATCGACGAAAAAACTCATGTCGACATGCACAGGTCGTTTGCTCACAACTGGGTGGTCGTTGTCGGTGGCTGAGTACGTCGACTGACCCAGAAAAGGATAATGACGCTGCGTTCATCCATGCAGACCTCGCTGCATTCAACGTGGACTGCTCGTTGGCTGTCATTGAGAAGGAAGGCAGCATGCCCGTGTCGGTAAGCTCCAATGGGTGGAAACATGTTAATACGCTATACGCTTACGTGGTTCATTTGAGTGTCTGGCAGTATATTGTTGCAAGTCGAGAAACAGGCTCGAGGACGATTGTGCATCCCGGACGATTGCGGAATTGAGTTGTGACGCATTCGCAGCACAAGTTGGACGATACTTGAAGCAGGTTCGACAAGATGTGATTGCGCCCGTGTGGTTTCACTTCGAAGGACGAAACATGGAGACCGTGAGAAACATGATGCTCCACATTCGAGAACATGTGCCCCAAGCGAAGATTTCGGTCGAGATTGAGTTCCCAAGATATCCCTGGAGTCTTGCGAAGACGTAGGATCGGCATGTATTATTGCATAAGCTAGTTCTTGCTTAAGCTGATCGCTTTTATTTGTGATGCGTGCGTAGACTGGCGTCATTTGCAGATTATGTGTTCATGTCCAAGGATTATCTTCGCGACAACATCCAAATTTCCACTGCTGGAGAATTTTTCGAAGGGATTCAGGAAAAACAATGGGGCGAGGACTGGAGTCGATGGGTGAGAGCGTTTATCTGCCCTTGGGGAGCGGACGGCGTGTACTATCTCGATATGACCGACTCAGCGACGCATCATATCCCCACTACTCAACTTGATCACGTGGTGGAATCCAACGGAGCGGGGGATTCTTTTATCGGAGCTACTCTTGCTGCCTTGTCTCGTGACAATGTTCCGCTTCACCTCGCTTTGACAATAGCGTGCGATGTAGCGACTGTAAAATGCTCACAGCACGAGTTCAAGCTCCCCGCCGACAAACTTTTGAGATGGAAGCAGGATCTACAATTCTCAAAAGGTTCCGACAACTTAAGTGGTGCCTAAATAGCTGTGTAATGCTAGACAAGGTTGGAAGAAGTTAACTGTTGTGTGTTGAATTTTGTCCATGAAGCTGAGGCTGGAACAAGCTACATAGTGCAAGACTGCAATGAGCAAATTAGTGCTGGCTCAGCTTCGACGTCGACATCACATGTCGTGAGCTCTGAAGTGGGGTTGGAACTGCAACGAGTAGAGCACCTTACTCGACCAGATACAGACGTATTCGCTGTGCCCCTTTTGCCAACGATTGTGGAAGACAACGATGGAGATATCATTGTGCCTCGACGTCAAGTAAGCAAGCGTCGAAGGTCTAGTAGGACGATGCCAGCTTCAGATAAAACCTCAGCTGGATCATGGGAACATGCTAATCGAGGCACGGACACAACCTTCATTTTGGAAGCGCGTAGTCGTACAACATGGGACACTGCAGGCACACAGCTATGGCGAGCGGCATTTCTACTGGCCGATTTCATGTACAGTGCATCGGTACGTCGATCAACGTTGCTGCTTCATCTTCATCAGTCTCACAAGTCTACTGTCTATCTCTACATGCAGGGAATGTTTGCTGGCCAAAATGTTCTCGAACTTGGATGTGGAATCGGTACGGCCTTGCCTCCTTCGACATTTCGAGTTGCAATGCAGAGATTTTGATTTGTGTGGCTTGATGCAATAGGCTTCGCATCGATTGTGGCTTCCCGACTGAGTCGCTGTGTATACGCGACTGACTCGGACAAGGACGCTCTAGTCTTAACCCAGAGGAATGTCGAGCGCAATCTTCATGTATGAAACATTATGCGAATCAAATCCAATGATAATGGCTAAAACTTTTACTACTGTGGCATGCAGAGAGACATCCGACCTCGCTTGTTGAACTGGGACGATAGCAGGTTGATATCAATCGCTGAAAAACCCTCTACGACTGGGTTCGACTGGCTTTCCACCGACCGAGCCGAGTTGGGAGACTTAGCGATCATCATCGCCAGGTAGGCCACGAGTCCATGCGTACCTGGACTTTTTGCTCACTTTTCTTCTGTGTATGAATGGACCGTGATAGCGACGTCTTCTATGATGATATCACTACTCTCCACTTCTTGCGTGCTCTACGCCGCCTGATGCTGCAGTGTAATCGAGCAAAAGCTTTCGTAGCGACAGAGCGGCGATCCGTTTTTTCCGCTACTGCTATGCGAGTTGTCTCGCTAGGTTATGATACCTTTCAACAGCATCTTTGCTTGCATGATGCAAGCACTTGCCACACCCACGTCACCGAAAACCAAGTACAGTGTCGAATATGCACCACCGGAAACGATAAGGACGACATGCTACGGTTCGTCGTTCACAATATCCAAACGAGTGACATCCCCCAGCGCTTCAAGTATGACAGGATATCTAGTCTTATGCTCTGGAGAATCGACGCCGTGGTGCAACAGTAAAGTGAAGGAAGACGTTCATTGAATGACCATCTACACTGGAGGAGCATTCGTACTTCTCCCTGAGAAGGTTCTCACTAACGTGCTACGAAAGCCACCAGCTAGACCTGAAACACCCCACGATCTCGCGGAATTCCCGCTTCCTGACTCGAGTCCAGTTGGCGTTGTCGAAGCTGCATTTAACCACGAACTTAGCGTTGTTTCCAGTCGCTTGAAACCATCCAGGCTCATGAGATTCAAACGTTTGATTGGACGCAAAGTCGTATCCATGTTGGGCTCGATATTGTTGCACAAAGATCTCAAGCGCGTGTTGTACTCGATTTCAAGCTTAAACGTCCACGTGCGCAGATGCATGACGCCAGCTTCAAATGGAGATGCTTGCAGCTCGTTGCGTTTCTCATTACTCTGAGCGAAGTTCCTACGATGATTATAAGATACTGGACATTAAAGGAAACGCAGAACCTAAGAACGTACTCAACAGTTACAGTGATACACTGCTCAAGAAGTCGAGGAAACAAGTCAGTATAAGATGCCGAAGGTTCTGCCAGAACACGTTGTCCTAGAGGCTCGAGCAAGTGCTGCACAAGGCGTTCGATAAATTCTCTCTACAAACCAACACAGCAATGTTACGACGATGCACACTACGAGGAATTTGGTTTAGATAACTTACTGCTGAGATTCGAGATTTCCCTGCATCTTTACTAGCGGTGGGTGAGCACATGTGTCTGGCAATCTGAACAAACAACTGCAGTGATAAAACACAAGAGTAGATCGATGATTCCAACACCGAACTTACCATCTCTACGACCTCAACAAGACACTCCGTGAGTTTAGCGAGATAAATCTTACACTCAGCATCGACGTTTGCTAACTCCACGGAAATGCGATGAATCTGAGGGATCGAGACTGGTTGGTCGCTAGTTACTCGCGGGGTGTACACTCCACCGGATTCCATTGGGTCTCGAGGTGTCGATGCCACAGAAGAGCAAGCAGAAGACGCTGCTGACGATGCTTGCGATGACGGTTGATGTGCTGTAGACTGGTGCGTGGTTATTTTAGGGCAGCCGTCATGATCGGCACCTTCGTTAGTGTCGATGAGGCGTAAAATGTGCGCTGTCTGCAGTGTAAATTGTGTAAGGATATTGTGTTGAGCTAGCACCGCCCACAGCACCGTATCATCTTCGGCTCTGTAAACTGTTCCTTCGGGGGTTATACTTTGATGCCGAAGAGAGAGAAAGTTGCTACCCCACAACGATCGAGTCGCCTGCGTCCACTTCAAATACTTTCGAAGTGTCGGCAAAAGCATCGACAAGAGCATCACAAATGGACACGAGCTGTTTTGCCGAGAGCGCGGGTCTAGAGCCTGGGCTAAGTCATCAAGAGCTCGAAGTATTTGCCTTCCAGTATGGGATACGATTTCTTCTGTGTAACCTTCGCCGCCCACGTGACTTAGATGCTGGTGCAGTTCTCCATACAATTGGGCACTCGAGCGGAAGAATGAGAGATCAACAGTGTGGCCCGCTAAACCTTGACGAGAAGCTCCAGCAGGATGATCTGATTGTTGAGTAGACTGGAAAACGTCTTCGGGCTTCTTTCCAGATTTCTTCTTCCCTCGCTTCGCCATGATCACAACGCTTACTTACCAAAGTAAGGCACTGCTACGACTGCTTACAATAATAGCTTCCTCGACACTTGACTTCTGTAACGTGCCATCAATGCTGGTTTGGTATCCCCAGCCACTTCCTCCATATTTCAAAGGGCGGACTAGCCGTTGTCGATAGTATCCAAGCGGTTCAGCGTGTGATCGGAAAACGCACTGCGAGAGGAACGCTCGTCAGATACGACCGTCGAAAAGTTACGTCCGATGCAACATCGTAATACGAGGATCGTATTAACGCTTTACCACAACGCCAACGTCCCTTCAGGCTTTCCAAGTCGCCACCTTGCACACAATTTCTTGCGGGGCACCTGGCCAACAATCGGCAACACGCAACAATACGTTGCTCCGTGCCGCATGGACCGTGCGTTTCACGAGCCTCGATATGCCTGCCGCCACCCACCCGTTCCTCCAAGCATGCAACTTTACGCCCTCCACCAGCGTAACATTTTTATCTGATTTCCAAACTGTGGTTTTCGATGTAACGATGTGGGACCTTAATCGAAAGCCGCATTCAGTTTCAAGTGACTCACTTGATCCGGTCTTGGTGATCCTAACACTGTGCACTTCAAAGGATTTCCGGCAGACCCACACGTCTAGCATTTCATCCGCAGTTGCTTTTCCATCCCGCAACTTTTATTGTCACCTGCCCATTGGATGAAAAAAACGGCCACTTGAAATTTTGCAATCCAACGTCAGTGCAATTCAGCAACTTCGGGCACAAGTGAATTTGCCAGTAATAGTGTCGTTTGGGGCAAGTGTGTATCCAGGTAGATAGGTTCATCTCATTTCGTTCCCCCCTCTCACCACTGATAGCGCAGTCACTGCTCAAGACACACCCGGAGGACAAGAAGCTTGCTGCTGAATGAGCGACTCCTCGTCCCTGGGCGGTGCGCTGATCGCCGCGGGTGCGTGCGTGCTGCTGCTGTTCTGTGTGATCGTGATGTGCGCCAGCTACTGCCACGGCCTGGACGACAACGTGGCTATCGACTCGGTGGATCTGCGCAGCTTACAGCTCCGTGAGGACCTGGTGGACACGGTACTAGACGCAGGGCGCAGCGAGTGGCAGTGTCTGGTCTGTGCTCATATGAACCATCCGAATCATGAACTGTGTCTGCTGTGTGGCACGTCGGCTGAGTTCTCCACAATGGAGGAGACAGTGGAAGACCCGAATACAAACATTAAGACACGTCGCGTGGCTCGTACTACCTTCCTAGGCACCGACAATAACACATTACTGAGTTCTACACTGCTCGAGAACTTAATCACGAGCTCAGACTCGAATCCAGTGATGATGGGAGAGACAGAGAGCACGAAACCTTCAGCCACGCTACAGAAAGCCAAGACATTGCCCATGTTACGCAGTGGATCCTCGTTCGGAGACACAGCGCAGGAAGTAGAGGCCACTACGAGCATGAGACAGCGAGCTTTGCGCTACAGAAGACTGAACGAGATGCAACTGAACCAGAAACAAAGAGGCGCAAGCAGAAGAAGACTGTGGCAACGTGTGCCACTCCCCAATGGAGGCTTCGTATGGGTCAGAACGATGGAACCCGCCGATGCTGGCTCGGTATTCGCACGAGCTGATTCGTTCGTGCATAAACTACGGACCAACTCGTTTCTATCGAAAAACCCACAGGCCAAGAATTTGCGTGGAGATTTAGCAGAGCAATTGCATCGGAAAAACGCAGCGTCGATGGGATTTTTCACAGAACTCAACGCGTCCGGTACAGCTGTGGCATGGAGGAAAACGGACTCAGTTGCGTTGGATGTGGACCCGAAAGGTGGAGACGGAGAACCTTTGGTGGACTTTGAAGGCGTGCTGGCCATGACGTGGAGAGAGAAGAAACGCTGGTTTCTCAAACAGATCACTAGCCTCGCAGTGCCGTATACTGAGTCCATGTTTAAAATCGACGTGCGTCGTAGTGCCATTTTGGACGATTCATTGCCACAATTGGCAGGAGAGGACGTCGACAAGTCGAGGATGCAGGAACACTTGAACATTGGCTTTATTGGCGAGCCAGCGTTGGATGCTGGCGGTGTTTTGCGTGAGTGGTTCGGACTTGTGTGCAAGGAGCTTTTCAGTGGCCAACGTGGTCTGTTTGTGACGACACATGCAGAGGATTCGAGCTATTGGATCAATTCCGAGTCAGTTAAGTGCGTGCCGGAAGGACAGGACCATCTGCAGTATTATACGTTCGCTGGGAGGCTTCTAGGGAAGGCTATTCTGGATGGTTTGGTGCTGGAAGTCAGCATGTCGTTGCCTTTATTGAAGCATTTGTTGGGCGTCCCGATTACTTTTTCGGACTTGGAATTTCTGGACGAAGAGCTTTATAAACACTTGTGCTGGGTACGAGATAATGACCATGTGGATGCTTTGTGTGTGACGTTTAGTATTCAAACCCCGTCGGGTGAAATGGTGGAGCTCAAGCCTGGGGGAGAGGACATCGATGTGACAGACGAGAACAAGATGGAGTATTTATCTCTCGTGTTGCGATACCGTATGCTGGACAGTGTGGCTGATCAACTCACTGCGCTACTTAAGGGACTGTACGAGGTCATTCCGAAGTCTCTCCTTACTATCTTCGACTATCAGGAACTGGACTTTTATCTCAGTGGCTTGCCAACAATCAACGTGGCCGATTGGATGAACAACTCTCGCGTTCGACACTGTGCCCTCGACGACGATTCAAAAGGAATCGAGCAAGAACTTGAGGTGTTGCAGTGGTTCTGGGACGTCGTGAGTTGTTTCACTGATGATCAGCGAGCTCGACTACTGCAGTTTGCAACAGGCTGTTCACGTGTACCTGTGGAGGGGTTCAGGGCGCTCACTAGTGCTAGTGGTATTGTGCATCCATTTACGCTGCAGATGGTGCCTACTGGAACGCCTCCGCTGGGCATGTGTCCGCGTGCACACACTTGTTTTAATCGCATCGATTTGCCTGTATATGAGACCAAGGAGGATCTCAACTCGTATCTATCACTGGTGCGCCGTCTTCTTTAAGTGGTTTGGTGTGTAGTTTGCTGACCTTTGTGTTGTGTTGTTATCTGTTAGGTGATTCAAATGGAGATCACTGGCTTTGGCTTTGAGTAGTGTACTGTACATGTAGCTGCATCAAGATGCTACAGCGATGACAAACAACTAACATTAGGTGGTGAAATATGTAAATGAAATAATTTTGGTTTAGAGCGCGTTGCCGAAGTGCGGCAGCACTCACCAGCTTGGGCAGCAACACTTTTTATACATGTACGTGTACTACCGTAGTATACGGGTCGACGATGGAGTTCTTCTGTTGACGCTCATTAAACATTCATTCCTGTTTGATAAACAGACGCTGCGTCATTAGCCGACGTCACTGATTGGACAAACACCTCTTTCCACCAATCACCACGCGTTATTTCAAAACCTATGTAATTAAATAGGATTAAATATCACAGTAAACGGGATTTGATTGGCCCGAGACACGTGCCCCCTCCCGAAATCTGTGTGGCTTACACGATTCCGCTCAGCCGTCGAGTGGTGGGTCACTCATTTCGCAACGGAATCCAACACCCCTCGAAGCAAAACTATGATCGCTCGTACTGCTCTTAAGCGCTCTATGGGCGTGTTCTCCCGCCCGGCGGCTAATGTGACCGCTCCTGCGTTCACACGGGCGCGTATGTACCACGATAACGTGATTGATCACTACGAAAACCCGCGCAACGTTGGCGCGATGGACAAGAGCGCCAAAGATGTCGGCACGGGTCTTGTGGGCGCCCCTGCGTGTGGCGATGTGATGAAGCTGCAGATCCAAGTGGATGAGAACGGTACGATTGTGGACTCTAAGTTTAAGACGTTTGGCTGCGGCTCGGCGATCGCGTCCTCGTCGGTGGCCACCGAGTGGCTCAAGGGAAAGAGCGTTGAGGAGTGTCTCCAGATCAAGAACACAGACATCGCGTCGCACCTGAAGTTGCCACCTGTCAAGCTGCACTGCAGCATGTTGGCAGAGGACGCCATCAAGGCTGCCATCTCGGACTACAAGCGCAAGCAGAGCGCTTCCGGATAAGATGACACAGTATAGCAACAGTCTTGTCGTCGCCGTGCTCCACCCAAATGGTCGTTGAGGCTCAAGATTTCAAGGATGGTCAGTAGTCGGCGCTCGGTGTGGGCGTAGCTTGGCTAACACCGGAGAAGGCAGGTCAAAGAAAAGCAGACAGTATTGAAGGAGAGCGAAGAAGCTGTGAAATAATCAGTTGCTAATTTATTGATCTACACTTCATGTAGTTTCTTTGTGTGCTTTTGGTCTATGCTGTTGGTCTTGTTCGAAACTTGTCGCCCTCCGGATTAGCTTCCAGTGACTAGGCATGTTTCAATCTCAGTGCACGAAAATTTGCATACACTAGTGACACTAGTCAGTTTAGATCAGTCGTGTATTCATTTATCCAACTTGCTCCATATAGCTAAAATGTCTCGAATGGTGGCAGATTACCAAGGATGTAGCTCACAAAGTGAGTCTCATCTCAACCGCCACTTTGCTGTGACAAGCTCCGTTTCTGTTGCTAAATTTCCAGGAATTAGACCAAGAACCCGACGTTTTATCTTAATTCCTCGCTGGCCACCTACTAATACGCAAAACCCGGAGCATACAGCTCGAGCGTAATCCCGTTTTTCCTTTGGCGAAGTCGAGACAACCAGACGCTTGCACTTACTCAGCTTGACCAGTTCCAGATTTCGATTGGGCATTGGAAGACTTCGACCTCGACATTTGGAGGTAAAGCTCGCTCCAACGTTAACAGGCTACGAAAGGCGAATCCCTACCCGTATTCTTAGGTCCGTGCATCCAAACCACCACACCTGCGCAGCCAAGAAACGCCCCGAAGTCCCGCAGACTCGTCGCGACAAGCCTAGAGGACCCACGACACATACACAACTCGCTATGGCTACTACCGAGTCGCTGCGCACCGGCATGCGCTCCGTGTACCTGCCGCAACATATTGTCGTGCTCGTGCACGGTAACAACGGCTCGGCCGCCGACTTCGACGCCATGGAGGCCGCTTTGCTCACCAAGTATGGCAACCGGCAGCTACTCATCATTAAATCGAAAGCCAACGAGGAAGACACGTCGCTAGGTGTGGAAATTGGCGGCACGAGACTCGCCAAGGAGGTCGTGGAGGCAGTTTTCGAGTACGACCTGAGTCCTGCCGTAAACAGCTACAAGTTGTCGGTCATTGGACATTCATTAGGCGGACTGTATGCGAGATACGCGATCGTCCAGATCATGGACGCGCTGAGCTGTCTACACGTGGAATACGTCGACTTCGTCACCATTTGCACGCCCCATTTAGGCTCCAGGAGGGCTAGAGGACCGTCCACCATGAAGGTTGGTGTCTTGTTGATGCATTGGTGCGATGAAGAGATCGACTCACCGCCGTTGATGTTGCTGTAGAATATCCTTCGACTTGGAGTTCATAAGGTATTAGCGTCGTCGATATACGGACAGACAGGCATTGATCTGCTGCTTGATGGTGAGTGGTCGTATCGCTCGATAGTTTGTAGTGTCGAATCCACACTGACCTGTACACTGGCAACGAATTATCATAGCGCAAGAGCAGCAACAAGGAGGGGTGACAGGTGCAGAGACCGTGGCGTCACCTCGTCCCCTGCTTGAAGTTATGAGCGACCCCAGCACCGAGTTCGTCCGTTCGCTTAGACGTTTCTGCAATGGAACATTGGTAGCAATGACCGACGGCGACGTGGTTGTACCCTATCCGTCGGCTTCCATGCGCAGTCATAGTCCATACGCTAGCACCTTTTTGACCGAACGCTATATGGATTGGCGATGGCATATCCGCCACTCTGGCTTCGCTGGAGTGGATGCTTGCGGGCGCACTCACTCTGCATACGCAGCATTCTTGGAACGTCTCAACTCGAAAATCGATACGTCAATTGAGATCGAGGAGCAAGAACTGGGACTTGATGCAACATGTGCCCCACGACACCCTAGTATTGAAGGCTTTGCCTGCGACAACAAGCAAGAGGTCGAGTTCCCGCACCAAATGTTGTGTCATTTGCAACAAGTGTTGCCATGGAGACGTATTGACGTGACAGTGGAGCCCTGTGGAATGAAAGGCAAGATGCGTCTACATGACTGGCCAATTAACAAGATGCAGCCTCCAGACTGTCGTGCGGACGAATTCATTGATCTCCTGAGCGATATGATCGGAGCAGACCACCAGATGCGTCCCTTGACGACGCCAGACACAATTGGGATGGTGCATGAAAGCCCTGCACTTGCATTGGCACATCGACTCAAGAATGCTGCCAAGAGAACGGACAAAACGAGTAGCGAAGAAAGCAGTGGAGACAGTGATGCTGATGCACATCACTCTGGGATGACGTCGCCCACATCAGGCTCGTCAGCTGCATCCAGCGACACGAACAACGAGCTGTACCCAGTTCGTGTATAGCAATGTTAAAAGAAATGGCGAAATGTACTCGTACCACAAAACAACAACGAACATTGCTTTCGATTAAAAAGTTGTAGCACATGAAACATCAGGGAAACTTGTCTCAAGCTGCGTTGGCACCGACATTTCATATTTCACTGTGGATTTTTTTCTGCCACTTTGTTTGTTCTTCTAGTGACATTGCAAAACCTTGCTTCAAGCATTTGGCACTTGCCACTTCACACGCCGTCTTCAATACATCCTCCAGAGGTAGATTTCCGCTCGAGAATTCCGCGAGAGCCGCTCCGATAAAAGAATCGCCTGCCCCGATCGTCTCAATCACTCTGTGAAGATGAGAAGCGGGTAGATGATGCGTCACCGACCTTGGCACATCCAGAAAATAGACACCTTCAGCTCCCCATGTGCAAATAAAGGCTTTCGCATGGAATGCCAACTTGCTACCCCACTGCTTCGCCACTACAGCGTCGAAAAACTGTTCTACGCTTTGAAAGGCAAGCTTCTCACGAATAAATCCTTGGAAATAAGAGTGTAATCCGCCAGGGAAATGAGCCTGAAAGAGTTTTCCGGTTAGCGTTAGAAATAACTTGATACTAACAACAAATTTCCTCAGCGACAAACTTACTTCATTGCAGAAACCCAGTCATTGCGAATTGCCTCTATCTCAACGGAAATTTTTGCAGTAGGCATCTCCTTACGCACGTAAAGCATCATCTTTTCTGTTGCGCCCAAATTTCTGCCTTCAAAGTGAAACCACGTCGCATGGTTTTCATTATCTTGAAGTTCTCCACGGTACAGTGTTAATTGCTTCACAAACGCTTCATAGCTCAGCTCGACAAGGTCTCGGGAGTGTATGATGGTGCGAGATCCCGTCGCGCGACTTGAAAGGATGAGCTAACAGACACAGCGTCAATGAGTATTTCCTTGCTTGCTTGCTACAGGACGGTGCTCTAACGCACCAAAAACAGCATATTCCCTTGAGTTTCAATGCTCGCAAGCGAACAATCCACGCCGTAAGCAGCGAGATCGTTGTGGACAAATGCTGCATCGCTGTCCTTCTCGGGGTCCGTCGACACGCCCAGCCAACGGCAACGACTTCCTAGCTGCGAGCACACAACCAGCGCGTTCGCGACATTCCCTCCTCTGCACTTACGACTCTCCAACGAGCGGATCTGAACAAAACCAGAAGCATGAACCAACAACGATTAAGACAGGTGTTGGCTTATTGACCGACCTTCAAGTCTTCTGTTCTCCATGCAACACCATCGAACGTTAGAACCGCATTAGTAAATGGAAGTATCACAGTATGAGCAGTGTGATTCACACTGCTACAAGGAGAGATACCTTCAGGGTACGCCGCCACCTCGTGGATCACGTCGATGATCGCGATCCCCACACCAATTACGTCCATGGCCTTCTATCTGCAAGAGTCGTTCAGAACTTCAACATGTTCGCTTAAGTGCGACCGATGGGATTTACACACGTACATTGCCGTTGAGTGCATTTCTATTTGTGTCCGGACTAAGATGGCGTCAAGGCCAGACCTGACTCACCGCGATTGGAGAAATCTTCGCATTCTCGTCGGTCTTACGTGCAGCAGATGCCTTACAACTTGCAAGAGACCTCGCTCCCTGCACCCCAATTCCATGGTAGCGAGCAACATGTTCGTGAACATTCGATGAGCCATACACGATGTCAATACTAGCATCGTGTTGACGTTTGCTTCGACACCTTCTCGAAGCTAAGAATAGAATATTCGATCAGAAAATCCAGTGTTGGGTCCAATCAAAGACCGTCTCTGACATCTTTTCCACCAATAATCGTCCTGAGAATGTGCTGCAAAAAATTGCCCTTTTTCGCATACCGTGATCATCAAAACACTGTTCTCAGCGTGCCGTTTACCAGTCTACAATTTTCTGCAACAAAAGCAGGCGAAACAAGTGCACAAACAAGAAAGGCAACGACAATTATGAGCACAAGCAACGGCAACGCACCAAGCGGACCGACGGCCACACATGGCCAGCCGCAGGGTAACTTTGTCTTCTTCATCCCACCACCGCCCACGGTTTGGGTGCAGTTCAACGACGGCATGCAGATGGCCTTCACGCCGTCCCCGGCGCAATTCCTGCAATCAATGATGCATGGCACTCCGCTGTTCGGTTCGATGCCTGGAAACGGTGTCAATGGCAATGGTAGCGACGGCTTTTTCAATGCGCTTAACGAGCTGTTCCAACGCGCACAAGCGCAGCAGCATGGACCGCCACCGACTAGCAAGCCCTTCCTGGACAAGCTGCCAGTGAAGGTATGGACTAAGGACATGCAGCAGACCGAGAAGCACACGGAATGCGTCATCTGTCTGAGCGACTACGAGAAGGACGAGAAGGTCCTTTCACTCCCTTGCGGCCACACTTTTCACAAGGACTGCGGTATGACGTGGCTTGTGGAGCACAACGTTTGCCCCACCTGCAGACACGAGCTGCCTACACAGGTAAAAAACACCTCGACAGCTCAGGCCTCAACGCAGACAACACCAACGGCCTCGACTGCTGCTGTACCAGCTACCACGGAGCCGGAACGCGAACCTACCTCACAGGAGACTACCACAAACGTCACTGGTGTGCGTCGTCAGCGACCCACGGAGTCGTACCACCCGCGTGATGTTCGCCAACGTGTGGACGAGATGCCATCGTCGTTGGATGAGGAAGTTGAGTTGGATCACATGCTTGAGAAGGAGGCCGACCGCTTTGTCAAGGAGGAAATAGAGAAGCGCCAGATCGCAGCAAGCGACGAAAATGGTGAGATTGAAGACCGCGACGTGGATGAATTTCTCAACGAGTCAAGCAACTAAAGTGACCGAATTCATTACACAGTTGTAAAGTAGGTGGCGTCAGAGCCGAGTAAAATAGAAGACCGATACAATTCTTTTTAGATTTTTTAAAACAAAAAGTCACTCTACAGTACTGTAGTAGTAGTCGCTACGCTTGTTGCACTTCTGTTAATTAAGGAGCATTTAAAGAACTTTAAACTACTACTATTACTACTATTACTACTACTAGTTTAGCAGCTTCAACTACTGCAACTACTACAAGTTTAAATATCACTTGTATACTCCGAAACTTCTGTGACAGAAGTACTACTACTAGAAGTAGAAGAAAGAGGTTTTACCCTCTCAAAATATTTTAAGTAATAGAGCTACACTGCACGCTGCAGAGCAGTAGAAATTCCTTTTTTGCATTTGTTTCCTTTTTTTTTGCTTTTCTAAAAACAATAAGGCAAAGGTGCTCTGCTCTTTAATCAAAATCGAAAACAGAGCCTTTAATCGTCGACTCAGATCCGCTGATTCTTCACAAATTTTAAAAGAGTCATTTAATAAGAATCAGCCTGATCTGATTAAGCATGCTAAAAGGCTTTCGATTGAACAGCCCTGACAATCGAAAAGCAATCTGCTCTCCAACACAGATGAACAGCAGCCCCACACTTGGAGAGATCTTCAAATCTCAAGCCTGCCACCGCCAATCCACCTCCCGACACAGCGAAGCTTTAGCCACATTCGAGCAGAGATGAGCTACCGCGGTATGAACCCCAACGCCGAGATCGTGAGCAAGTCACAGGCGCTCATGGTCAATGTAAGCGCGTCCAAGGGTCTCCAGGGCGTGCTCAAGTCCAACCTCGGTGCGTTCTCACGCCTCCAGCCCAACCAACACATTGCCCACAAAGATCTAATAGTTACTGTACTTGCATCTTGAAACAGGCCCGCGCGGTACACTCAAGATGCTGGTCGGTGGCGCTGGCCAGATCAAACTCACCAAGGACGGCAACGTTCTTCTGCATGAGATGCAGATCCAGCACCCGACGGCCGCGTTGATCGCTCGTGCGGCTACAGCGCAGGACGACGTGACGGGCGACGGCACCACGTCCACCGTGCTGTTCATCGGCGAGCTGCTCAAGCAGGCCGAGCGCTTCCTGGCTGACGGATTGCACCCGCGTATCCTGTCGGAGGGCTTCGAACTCGCTAAGGACGAGGCTCTGCGTGTGCTGGACGGCATCAAGGTCACACCCGAGGACATCCTTAAGGACCGTGAGCTGCTCTGCAGCGTCGCCCGCACCTCACTGCGCACCAAGCTGGACCAGAAACTCGCTGACCAACTCACAGAGATCATCACGGACGCCGTGTTGACCATCGCCGTGCCTGAACGCCCCATCGACCTCCACATGATCGAGATCATGCACGTACGTGGCTTTACTACTCTTGTATTTTATAGTAACAGTTGCTGATGCCTGTGTGTTTTTTTATTAAAATCATACAGATGATGCACCAGAGCAGCAGTGACACTCGTCTCGTCAAGGGTCTGGTACTGGACCATGGCTCTCGTCACCCGGACATGCCTACGTCGCTTGAGAACTGCTACATCATGACGTGCAACGTGTCGCTGGAGTACGAGAAGAGCGAAGTGAACTCTGGTTTCTTCTACAACAGTGCCGACCAGCGCGAGAAGATGGTGGAAGCGGAGCGCAAGTTCACGGACGACAAGGTGCGTCAGATTATCGAACTTAAGCGTGAGGTGTGCACGGAGGAGAACAAGAAGAGCTTCGTCATCATCAACCAGAAGGGCATCGACCCTCTGTCGCTGGACATGTTGGCCAAGGAAGGCATCCTGGCTCTACGTCGTGCTAAGCGTCGTAACATGGAGCGGATAACGCTTGCTTGCGGCGGAATGCCTATCAACTCGACCGACGACATGGACGAGTCTATGCTGGGATACGCTGGCAAGGTGTACGAGCAGACGCTTGGAGAAGAGCGCTACACGTTCGTGGAGGACGTACAGCACCCCAAGTCGTGTACGATCCTCATTAAGGGCCCGAACGAGCACACCATTGCGCAGATCAAGGACGCTATCCGTGACGGTGTGCGTGCTGTTAACAACGCTGTTGAGGACAAGGGCGTCGTCCCCGGTGCTGCTGCGTTTGAGCTGACTGCGCACGAGGCGCTAAACAAGTTCAAGGGCACAGTGAAGGGCCGTGCTAAGCTCGGCGTGCAAGCGTTCTCCGACGCTCTGTTGGTGATCCCTAAGGTGCTGGCGGAGAACTCTGGTCTTGACGTGCAGGACACGTTGATTGCAGTGCAGGAGGAGCACCAGAACTCCGGTATGCCCGTGGGTATCGACCTCTTCTCGGGCGAACCTATGCTGCCCGAGCAGGAGGGAATCTGGGACAACTACCGAGTGAAGCGTCAGTTTATTCACCTCGCGACGACACTGGCGTCGCAACTGCTGCTTGTTGACGAGGTTATGCGTGCTGGCAAGCAGATGGGCGGTGGCGGTATGCCCGAGCAGTAAATAGGTGGATACGTTGGTGGTTTATTCCCCCCCACTAGTTCATCCACTCACCACGCGCTGAGGCATAATAAACTGAGAAACACCCACATGATCTTTAGCTGCTTGTTGCTTTATTTTCGCCTGATATTTTTCAACGCACAAACAATAGATAAAATACCAGGATGTCGGTGATTGACAGCGCTACGATGACCATGTATAGACAGATTTTCTTGCGATACGAGCGGTCGGCGATGATCTGCAGTAGATGACGCACTTGACCTGTCATGCTCGAAGTCTCGGAGACCATATCCTTCGTGTCGTGTAGCTGCGAGCGCTGCAACTCGAGGTCGACAAGCACATTCTTGGCTAGCTCTTCAGACTCGGCAACGGTGCGACGTGTACGCTCAATGTTGTCCGATGTGCGCATTAGCGATCGTACGCTCTGTATTCGTCAATACACATAGTAGATTCCTCAGTCAGCATTGGCGTTTAGAAGATCAACAGGCTATTGACGCACGGGGTCTCCTGCGAAGAATGTACTGTAGTTGTTGAGGCTGTTGGGATCCGGTCCTCCGCCTGTAACACCGCTACTGCTCTCGCCTGCAAAGATACCGCCAGCGTTCGCTCCATTGCTGTCGGACATGGCCACGCGAGGCCCAAGCAAGGCGGTCCGTTCCTCCTTGTTCGAGCTCGTGGTTGCTGAGTTTTTATCGAATTGAAATTGTTGCGGAAGAGACATAGGAAGATACCGAAGCTACTGTCACCGGACATTCAGGAAATTATAAATTACGCACAAAGTTGTTTCGTGTGTAAGACATCATTTTCATTTTGCAGGCGGCCGCATGAGCTTCGGCAAGACTAACTATCGCGCTGGCGGCACGCGCGGTGGCGCCGACCGTACGTCGACAATGAACCTCTTATTATAACATCTGGGTGAAAATGGAGTGGTCTAAATGCTTGTCAATTCTTTTCGTGTTTGGTGCGCTAGAGTTCAAATGGGAGGATGTCAAGAACGATAAGTATCGAGAAAATTACTTGGGCCACTCGGTGCAAGCGCCTGTGGGACGGTGGCAGAAGGGCAAGGATCTCACATGGTATGCGAAAGCAAACAAGTCGCAGCGTGCAGAGGCTTTGCAGTCAGAGCTGGAGCTGGCCAAGCAGCGAGACGAAGATCTCATGAACGAAGCTTTGTACGTCGCAGTAGCAGATTGCCTATATCTTTTTTTCGACGGAAGCTTACGAGGTGCTTGTTAACGTATTGAATGAACAGGGGTATTGCACCAAAGAAACGTCGCGAACCTGTCGAAGCTTTGAGCTCGTTTGAGATGAAGGAGCTGCTGAAACGAGGAGAAGCGGAGAGGGATGGCTTGGACGTGGAGCGTGTTGAAGGGCTCGGAGCAGCGCCAGTGGAGGCTGAGGGCTTCGAAACGGGACCTAAACGTACACTAGCTGAGAGATATAGAGACCAACTCGCCAGCGGCAAAGCCGATACGACGTATGCGCTCCCAGGAACAATCAACACGCAGATGACGGAGAGTGAGGCGAAGGCAGCACGAAAAGAAGCGCGCAAAGCAGACAAAGCAGCGAAGAAGTTGAAAAAGAAGGAGCGCAAGAAAGAGAAGAAAGCAAAGCGCCGTCATTCGGACGAGGAAGACGACGACAACCGACGTCGTTCCCACTATAAAGATGAAGAACGTCAGGCACGATCACGCTCCCCTTCGCTACCGAGAAGAGGTCGAGATGCCACTGAGCGTTCGCATCGATACCGATCTCGTTCACGCTCCCCAGCTGATCGTCATCGGTACGAGAGCTCGAGCAGACGCTCTTACACCTCGAAAGACGCTCGTCGCCCTCCCCGTCGTCGCCATCGCTCATCTTCTCTATCCCCTAGAAAACGCTCCCGCTCAAGGTCGCGCTCTCGCTCTCGCCGTCATTAACGAACGTTAGTATGATAAGATATTTGCAGGGTTATTTCTTCTTGTGTTTCTATTGATATGGGGGTATGACAAAAGACTTCACTCACAGCTCTCTCTTCGTCTCTTACTCAGATTTTGACGTCGTGTGCGCTTTTTTCTGCCGTCCACAGCGTTCCGAGCTGCCGTCCTTGAGCTCGTACGCAGGCAGGTAATACCCCTCCTTGCCGTCCTCTCCTGTCCTCCAGAGCTCTGGGTTCTGCACCGTATCGAATATGTTTCCTAGCGACGTGTACCCGTGATCGTACAGGGAGCAATACTCCAACTGACAGTCGCGTAGGAAGCTCCACACATCATCATACGTCCACTTTAAGATGGGGTTGACACGCAAGAAAGGAGGCCAGCCAGGACTGCTAGGCGAGAAGTGCTCCATGTCTTCTGTGTACGGGTCTCCTCCACGCACACCCATGTAGATGCCCTTGACCTGGAGCTTGTCCAAGATGTCCTTGACGCCTTCCACGAACGAGCACTTGTAGACGTGACAACTGAGCGCGAACTTCGTGTTACACTCCTCTGTGAACTCCCGGACCTCCGGGAACTGGTCGTACGAGTCGAAATACATGACTGGAACACGCTGCAATTGCGTCTTAACACGAGCTTCGAGCTCCTCTTCTTGTAGCAAGTCAGCAGAGACGAAGCTGTTTCGCGGCGAGGTAACAGTCGTCTTGGGGCCGTTCTCAGCTTCCTGCTCGGCCTTTAAGTGCGCTAGTTGCGCCTCCTCCAGCACACGCTTGGCTACTACAATACGGAGCAGGTGCAACACCACGGTCGAGTCTTTTCCGCCGTTAAAGCTGAAGCAAACGCCCTCTAGACCGAAGATGTCAATGGCGCTGCGCATCACGTCCAGAGCTTTCTGCAGCCGCTTCTGCATGGCTGCATCGGCTCCGGCGAAGAAGAGATCGAAGCGCAGTAGGATAGACCTCATACTGCTGTCGTTGGTCATGATTTGCGGTCTGGGGACGTGTTGAAAAGGTTGGTTAACGATGATGTGGAGATGAACTTGGTCAGCGCTTTACGTTATGTTACACGGTGACGAATAGCTCAAAATAAGCGCCAGAAGATTGCCAATAAGATGGAGACAGTTGCCGCGGTGGAAGTGAGCTCTAGAAGTGAAGCTGCAATCTGCAAATGGAGCTACTCGAGTCCGTCGATGCCGCCGGTGGAAGTTGGTGAGTGACGACTATGTCGGCGTAAACGCTGACGTGGTGTAGGCTCAGATCTGAGCCAATAGAAAAGGTTAAATATTATTTTGGCGAATTGGAAATTGAGATTGCGCTAGCCAATGGAAAGAGACGGTGAACAGACGAAATTCGAGAAAAACTGACAATGTGAAGAAGGTTGTGCTCGTCATGGTTAATTCCGACGTGGCGATGTGGGCTTTTCCCGCGATCGACCATCAATATCAGCTGCTGCCAGCCACGCATGAAGCCTTCACTATGTTCTGAAGCTCTCGAGGTTTCAAACAACCGCGGCAGTTTAAAACCACGCCACTGGCGATTCACATGCGCTTGCTTAGGCAAGGAATGTGGCACTGTAGTGTACCGGTATCTAGCAAGACTTCTTCAAGAGTTTCTCGACCCATTGGTGTCTCGTACGCAGTGCCTTCTTGGACACATCAGCATCGGGTGCATGGGCAGCGAAGTTGCGCCACCCACCTGGCCAGACGTGTAGCTCCGCTTGCACACCACATTCCCATAACTTCCTCGCGAACGCAACAACTTCATCTCGACACACTTCTGCTGACCCCACTTCTAGATACGTAGGCGGGAGACCCGATAGGTCTGCTGCCCGTTCTGGGGCCTCAAAATCCTGCACATCAGTTGTTCCACATCGTGACCCGAGCACGCAGCCCCATGCAAATTGGTTGCTTCTACTGCTCCAATGTCCTCCTTCATCCTCGAATTGACGAGCACTAACGCTGTCACAACGGTCATCCAGCATGGGTGCAACGAGCAGTTGGCCACACACCTTGGGGCCACCACGCTCACGAGCTAAAAGCGTCACTCCAGCACAAATTGCGCCACCTCCAGAGGTTCCAGCAAGCAGAAGTCGAGTTGGGTCAATACAAAACTCATCAAGACTATCACCAATCCACTTGAGTACTGCATACGCGTCCTCGAACGGGATCGGTGCTGGGTGCTCAGGTGCTAGGCGATATTCGGGCGAGATGATGATAGCATTGCACAAATCAAGGTATGGTGCAAGAGCTGTTACGCCAGTGAAGCGGTTGCCCATGATCATGCCGCCTGGATGGTAGAAGAGAATAGCGGGGTGTTGCTTGGTCGAGTCAAAACTGGAAGGGCGAAAAAGTGAAACCTGGATATCTCCATGGGGTCCTGTAGTAACGCGCTCTTCGTGAGTGCTACCTGGCGACAGAGCGAGTGTCAGTTGAGCTGACGCGCCAATCGAGGCCTCTTCACGTGTACTGGGAAGATCATCGATGCCGACGTGGAGTGGCATGCCGTCAGCAAGCGCTTGATCAATCATCGCCTGCAGCTCAGGGTCGTAGGGTGGGCGAGAAGTGCTCATAGATCTTCGCAGCAGCAAGCAGGATAGTGAATGTCTTGCTATAGGAGAAGGGTGAGTTGTTTGGGCACTGCTTGCCAAAGTTCTTGTGGCCCTGCGCGCCTTCTCTATCCAATCAGCCCACTATGAAGTATGATATAATACCCTGAGCTCTGCTGTATGCAACCCGTGGTCATTTGCATCGAGTGATGTGGGTAGCAAGCAGCTCAATAGATACTTCAGTCTCTTCTCGAATTTGATTGTTCTTCACTTGGGTTACAAGAGAATGTTGGGGTATGTTATTTGTCGACCTTTCTCAATGAAGTCTACTCAACACCTCTTAGCTTCCTCATTCTCTGATTTCCTTCCAAGTTGGTAACCAGTGCTAGAAAATCCCCAAACACTTGCAAGCTTCGCCGTCTTTCTCAGCATTGACCACTCAAAACAACCATGCAGTTCGGTGTATTCTTCTTCTTCCTGCTCTCGGCTTTTGGAGCTGTCGCTGAAGACCCCTGCCCCGCGACTGAAGTCGTCAAGTTCGCCGAGCTTTATGCCAACCCGCACTTGAGTCCATGCCAGAAAGTCTCAGCCGGCTTCTCTATTGCCCCACCGAAGGGCTACCCGACAGACCCGCAAGTCAAGGCCATGTGTGCCTCCGACGAATGTCGTGCGCTGATTGAAGATGCTCTTGCATTGAAGCCCGCCGACTGCTACCTGTCTTTCGCCGGCGTCAAGCTGAACGCATACAAGCTGTCCAGCACTTTCGAAGATGCATGCAAGGCTGACGTGGACAAGACTCACGAAGACGACAAGCACCCGGCGTCAACCAACAACTCGACTTCGAAGCCGACCGAGGAGAAGTCGACTCTCAAGCCTGCCGTCGAGAAATACCCCAAGGCGACAGAAGAGGACATGCTCCACACCAACGAGAAAGCGGACGAAGCGAGCAATCTGAAGCCTCCGATGAACGGCACAGCTCTCGAGCTCTTTCCAATGCCCAACACGACCTACAAGGCAACCACGTCGCCTAAGGCGTAAGTGGAACGACAGACCACAAAGCTCAAGAGCGCGACATCCTTCTACTCGAGTATTGCGAAGACGAATAGCTACTTAGCAACACTTCACAGAAGTATAGTTGACCCCGCTCTGACATTGAATACTAACTTTTCCATGTTTAATCGTATGCTTTGGAGGCCTTATACATCATTCGCAACCGCGTCTTGCTGTCTCCGAACGCACGCTATTTCCATAACCTCGAGAGTTTACTCCACCGACATAATGTCGTCAATGGATGTTACTTTCGTCTCATGGACAGCAGTCGTCGAGTAGACCTCCGAGACAACAGCTTTGGCGTTCAACCAGACGCCACCAATCGAACTAGCAGCATTCTGCACCAACTGGTCATGCAGCAGTCCGTTCTCATACCCAGACGCCGGGACCGAATACGTCATCGATGCAGAGGCAAGAGAGGCGCAGGCGATGGCTGCGTCGGCTTCAACGACCGACGCACTTCCAAGCTGCCACTGACGCGGGTTCTTGACGTCAACACATGCGGGCACCAGGTTCGCAGTGTCACACTCCACGCTCTGCCACGTCTTCGACTCACGCATGAGAGCTACACACTGCTTCGGATTGAGCTCTTGTCCCTTAGACACAGCCCAAATAGTAGCCTCCATGCGCTTGGGAGTGATGTTGTCGGGTGATGGCAAGTTCACGCCACATTGTGCCACGCCTGGCAGCGATTCTTCGTTCAGCAAGTTCTTGTTGATGCCCAATTGACCGTCTGCATTGAGGAAACCGTACTCGATTTCGCTGGTTTCTGGACGGAAAATGGTGAAGTTCTCGTCCGAAATCCCGATATTTGTTTTGGATTCGTTGAAGCGGCATGCTGGGAATGGAGCAAGTGGCAGTGGTGGCTCTTGCCAGTTGCATACAGTGTCCTTTACGAACAGAAGCTCCTCTCCGTCGCTAAAATAATCGACACCACTCATAAACACCACACGTTTCCCAACGCGAAGCAGCTCTTCAATCGTAGGCCATTTGGTGTCGTACTAATCGAATCACACAACAATCAGTATTTTATTTTTCTATCATCGACAAATAATTGATAACTTACTGCCAGTTCGATCGGTCGTAGAATCTCTTCTTCTGGGAAATAGTCCTTCAAATAGTCCAGTAGTTTACCGACTTTTTTCCACTTCATGAGGTTCGTCTCGTCATCGAAGAACACCATCAAGAACTCGTCCTTATGCTCAGGTGCATGAAGCCACGTTGCCAGCTCCTTCAACGCCTCCTTCAGCGGCCTCTGCTCTTTCGACGGGATACTACTCAAACTGGGCTTACACCCAATAGTCTCAGAGTCCCACTCAATGCCGGTCCCCAATAGTTTTGCAATTTCATTGAAAACTTCGATCATCCCGTCCAATAACTTGGACTTGAAGCCTCCACAATGGGCGATATGGAGATCCCCATCGAACCAATGCACATCCAACTCAATGAATCTCACGCCCATGTGCAATTGATCCGTAAGCGAGAATAACTGGTCGTTCGTGTGCACCTTCATACCTTTCTTAAACCACGAAAAGTAGCGTAGATAGCCTTCAAACACATGGTCCTCCACTCCATATCCGTCGGCCAGATTGATGGCCGAATTGTGCGTTCCAGGCAACGAGGCAGCGCAAAAGTTGCGACGGTATGCGAGTTGGCGTTGCAGTTTTAGAGCATTTTGTAGCCACTGGTCCACCTGGACACTACCGTGCTTGCAGACAATGGCGCACACGCCTTTTTTGTCGCAATGCTGGATCTTGTCGCATATCACGTCAGCGGGGACTAAATCAGGGACAGTATTGAGCACTTGAGTCTTAAATTGTGCGCTGTCCAGAGCGATCTGGTCGGTTGAAAGCGTCAAAAGCGTGTCCGTGGTAGAATCGAGCTGAACGTGTAGTGGATCTTGGAACGGAGCGACGTCTGCTGCAGTGGAGGACGCGAATAAAGCGGCGAGGGAGAAGAGGATGATGGCGGAGTTGCAACTGAGCGTGGTAGCGACGTAGGGCGCGTTACGGTTGCACCGCGCCGACGTGAAGTACGCCATGACGACTGGAATCAGGTTGTGTGAGTTTTTGTCAAAGCTATTTTCTCAAACTTGATGTACAATACATCACTTTATGCATATTTGATGTGATAGCCACTTCAACTTTCTCAAATCACTCCTTCACTTCAACTTGGTGTTGTTAAAGTTTACCTAAATGTGGAATGTTACGTACGTATTCACCTCCTACGCTTCACTATCGCTCCTCCCGAGTCACTTACGGCGTCAGCGTGTGGGCGCGTGGGCGGTTGTTCTCGCTCGTCGGACTTGCCTTATCTCCAACGAGCTTATCTTTCACGTCGTGTACCACCTCCTTCGCGCGCTCCATGAAACTCTGTGGTGGCGACACTGGCGACGGCGATGCTGGCGATGGTGACGACTGTGACTGCGTCAAAGACGTCTCTGTGGTCGTGATCTGGTGGCTTAGCGCGCTGAGGTTGAAGTTATCGTTCAGAGTGGACTTTACCAGCTCCTCAACGGTGTCAGACTTACTGAAAATGCCACCACGGTTTTCGTCGTGGTGATGACGGTCGGACTTACCGACGATGATGACGTCGCTGTCATTGTTGCCATGGTCCTGCTCGTTCTTCTTGAAGAAGTCGGTATTAGCGTCCTTGTGTTTGTCCAACAGACCAGTAGACTTGTCGTCCTTGTCACTTCCAAAAAGTCCGGTGTGCTTGTCGTCTTTGGCCTTGTCACTCTCGCCGAACAGACTGTTGCCCTTCGATTCCTTCTCCTTGCCAAAGATGCCTCCCTGTCTCTCGTGTTGTTCCTTGTCGTTGAGACCGAGTGCGTTGTCGACTGCACCCTTGACACCCTTGGAACGACCGTTCTTCTGGTCGTAGTTGCGTGCTGTCATACTCAGGACTTCCATGGCTTTAGCCGTCGCACCCATGACATTGCGTGCAGAGTGGATCTCGGTCTTAGAAGGCTGTGAGCTCTTGTTGATCTCGTGTGCTACACGCTTCAACTCGTCCGCCGTGTCCTTGGCGGTGCGCATGTCGCTCCGCATGTACGAAGCGGCGGTGTTGATGAAGTGGTTGCCGTGGCGACTGTCATACTCAGATAAGTTTTTCTTGAGCAGCTTGAGACATCTCGAGGCGTCGTCAGCAGTCTGGTTGAGCACCTTCTCGAGCGACGAGAACTCTTGCTCTTGTTCGGCGGTGAAGTGGAGATCGGACTTGCCCATGTTTGAGGTTGCGCGGATGAAGTTGTCGGTTCAATTGATTGTCTTGTTAGTTAGTGATCACTTTTCGAAATGAGTGGGATGTCGGTCCCGACAAGTCAGCGATGTTACAAGCTCTTAGCAACTATGTTGGCTGCCGACGCCTCCCATCGAATGGTATCGTTAGAGATTGAGACACCAGAAAACACCCACCTACATTTTTTCTATCTTTTTTGTGCGTTCACGTAAAAAAACTGCATAATTTGCTTTACTTGTAAGCCCACGTGCTTATTTTCAAGAGAGTGACTATATTAACCGACTGAGTTAACCTTCCCCTACAAATTTTTGACGCGCTCCCATCCGTACGATGTATACAGTGTGTACCATGTATACCATTCGCGTAACGATCGTAAGGCTGCAGGAGGGGGAAATGGATCTCCGCGTCCGAGCCGTCCGCTAACTGGGGCTGTCGCGCGCGAGATCGACGAGAGCGACAGCAGCGATTCTGAGCCCCCAACACCCGCTGCGAGCGGTGCTGGTTCGGGTGATGGAGCGTGCGGCGATTGAAAATTCAAGTGTCGTCGCTGACACAGCGGAGCCAAAGTATTTTGAGGTAAAAAATGTGATATCCTCACAGGCGAGGCCGTGGGACTCGAGCCGCAAATATCGTGAAGCACTGCAATTTGCATCCCAAATTTGTGACACCGTGGCGGGACTCGGCATGACGCAGTATAAAGAAGCGATGCAGTATCTTCAAAGTGTGACTGGGCGGTTCAAGAGAGGCAAATTCGAGGATCCCGGTGTGCCAATTTTACCACCAGCTGAATCTGAGCGTCACGGTTCGACTAGCAGCTCGCGCGATGATGCGCTGTCGCCGCCACTACTTACTGGTCACGATCCGACTGCACGACCGACTCACCACGTGTCGGCAGAACTGCTTACTCGTCGTGCGGATACAGCAAATATGAGTCATATATCCCCAACTGCCTCTGAGTCTGACCATGCCACAAGCTGCAACTCCGTCGAAACAACACAGGTTGCAGATTTATCGGGCCAGTCGGTCTCGATCGGAGGCCAATCGGGCTCAATCGGGGGCATATCAGGTCCAGTCGAGGAAGATTCGGGTCCAGTCGTTAAAGAATTGGATCCAGTCGGGGAAGAATTGGATACAGTCGGGAACGTTGAATTAAGCACACTACCACCAGCAACGGAAGACACGCCATTTGTGATAGCGAGTCCTCCCGGACGACCAAGACAGACAGCCAGATCAAAGAAGGCAGCTCGTAAAAAAACTGTCATTGTAGCTCAAGAAGACTCAGAGCTGTACGCTTCGAATTTAAGCTTGGCGTCCGTGGATGCAGCGCTGTCTTCGGATGCAACATACATATCGTCAGCTGCAGTTGTGAACAAGTTCAAAATGGTGGAGTATGGCTTCAAGTTCAAGACACTTACAGCACGAACAATATCGAGCTTGCCACCCACAATCGCTTTGATACCAGCAGAGTCGATCACGCGGATATTGCGCCCTGAACAAATTGTTATTTGCAGGAAAAAGGTTTCGGCTCTGCAGTCGAAGCACAAAGGCCTAGCAGAAAGTGCCGTGGCGCTGGATATTCCAGGCTTTGGTGCGTACTCAATGAGTACAATTGGGATCATGAATAGGTGGCACAGGGCAATAAAGGTGGTAAAACAGGTCGAGAAGGCTGTGAAGTGGGTCGAAACCATTGACTTCACACTCCCAATGCCTGCTCCGTTTCAAGTGGTGCTACAGACGGATATGCTGTCAAAGATGCAGTCAATTCCGCTTTTGTCTGCAAAGGTACGTCGACGAAATCATACCATCACTACAACACTTTCTAACTAAACGTTGTGTTTGACAAACAGGCAGAAATTCTAGATCTCGTCGAAAAAAAAAACAGCTAAGCGACGATACCATGAATATCGTCATGTCCAAGCTGTTCGGAGAACGAAATGATGTCGTCATTGTGGATCCAGGTGTTATCGGTTCCATTGATAATGAAGATAGTCCTGTCAATACCAGAGCCTTCGCTACAATTTTCGCGGGCAAGACAAACGAGAAAATTCTGATCCCTATATGCTGCAGCAACACGCATTGGTGCTGCGTAATGGTGAACTTAAATCTGAATGATGTGTGCATCTATGACCCAATGAGCTCGAGCTATGTCGTTAGAGTCCGAGCGATCGCAGAAAAGCTGGCAATGCAGCTGCCAAACTACGCACCAAGAAAATACCGAGTACACCACTACATGGGCGATCTAGGGGTACAAGTAGATTCATACAATTGTGGTATGTATGTTCTGCTAGCGTTTGAGGTATTCGCTGGTGCCCAAGGTCTGTGCATGCTGAGTAGGAAAGAGTTACATTATCTGCGCTACAGATACATATATATGTGTCTATAGTTAACTCTTTCAACAAGTTGATTTTGATTCTGTACTTACCAGTCCCACTGAGCTCTACTGAATAAAATTTCTCATGCTCATGACATGATGCCGGTCGTACTTGCACGCTCAAACCACAAAGTCTTCACATCCGGATATACGTATACGGACGCTTGATTGCTCAACTGACTTATTTTGTGTCGGGCATGGTCGGGCATTGATCGGGCACCATTAGCCTGTCTCTTCCACACCAGTAGCAACTGCCTATTTTCAAAGTGGGCTTAAAACGATTTTTCTACTCCATGAGGAATCAGGGCCTATAGTATAGACCATATGGCCATCTAACGGAATCTAGTGTCGCATGAAGCCACTACTTTTGTTGTAAAAATTCGCTGGATGTAATATGGCTACCAAGGTTCTTACCACTTTGCAACGTGATTGCCAGTGCAACAACACAATACAAATCTGAGTGTGTCAGTGCTACGCTCACCATGGGCAAGTCCGACACCAGCATCGCCGCAGAGTTCTTCAAACTCGAGCTGCTGCTGATACATACGGCAGATGATGCAATAAAATGTGTGAAGGCCTTGAAAACCAATCTCGCTGTCTTCGACAGTCGCCATGGACTGCACTTCGTCAACACTTCCAAGTCGTTCATGAGGGGAAACATCCGTACAGCAAAAGATGCGGCTACTGAGCTGCGACTCGTGGCGGACCAGATCGCCAAAAGCAAGTTCCTATCCGACTGGGAAATCGCTGCGGCCCGCAACAAGACGAACGCTACCGCAGACGCCATGAAAGAGCTGAAGAAACAGGCTCGTGTCTACGATGAGATGAATGGGAAGCATAATGGCATCAGCCGCATCATCGACAATGTGCTTGTTAGGAAACGTGAGAAGAAGAAAAGTAACCAAGACGACGGTGTAATAGCAGCTATCGACACAGTGGATGCAGTCGTGAAGCTGACCCTCCGCACCACTTTCAGCGGATTCCATGCCTTAAAGCGTCAAATTTCCGTTGCCGAGAAGTCAGTCTCCCCATCGCTAGCAGAGCGTGCGAAAGACGTGATGGAGGACGTTGTGATAAAGATTAAGGGAACCCCCGCAACTCGAAGCGTTAGCCTCTAATCTCGAGAATCGTACAGTAATAATTAATTTGCAAATTGTATTTTTTCCTTAACGTCATTTGTTGAGTTGCATTAATTCTAAAACAGAAACTCATGTTGAAGGTGCGCTGAAATTGCGACGAGAAGTTGGTCCGCACCTTAAGAACAAGCTATTGATACATTAAATATTCGAATTTCTTGCCGATGTCCTTGCGACAAGCTATTGTTCCGCCACCGTGTTTTCTCAAGGCATTTATACATGTACCGGTATGTCGGCAGCCACCAAATCAATTTTTATTATCAATGCCCATCTAGTGAAATGAAGCCATCACCGCGACTAACAACGATCTACCTCTTATTCATTTTGAAAAGTGATCTCCAACGCACAAGTCTACCAACTACATCAAACGCGCAAGCAAAACTCAAGCATGGGCAAGTCCGACCGCAACGTTACCGCAGAACAAGAGTTCGCCGCTCTCGAAAAGCTGCTCATCCAAACTTCCGACGACGCCACCAGATGCCTCAAGCTTCTCAAGAAGAATCTGTCCGACTACGACAGTCGCCATGGCAACCACTTCATCAACGCCTCCACATCGTACATGCGGAGTGACATGCGCACCGCCAAGGACACGGCCGCCGACCTCAAGCATGTTGCGCACCGAATCAGTAAGAGCCCGCAACCGTCCGAGACGGAGATCCACTCGGCTCGTAACATGATGGGCGCGACAGCCAAAGCCATGGATATCCTAAACACAACTGCACGCAATTACGACCAAGAGAAGGGTCGGTCCAAGGGTGTCAAGGGTGCGGTCGACAACATGATCGGCCATAACGACAAGGAGTATCACGAGAGAGAGGGAGGCGTCTTTGATAAGAACAAGGAGAAAGAATCCAAGGGCACCGGTCTTTTTGGCAAGAACGATGAGCGCAAGCATGAAAAGCACACCGGTTTGTTTGGCAAAGATAAGGATGACAACAAGCACACTGGTCTGCTCGGCAAGGGCGACAAACATAAGGACGAGAAGCACACCGATCTCCTCGGCAAGGGTGACAAGGAGAAAAAGCACGGCCATGGTCTGCTCGGAGGTAGGACCGATCACCACCACGACGAACACCGTGGCGGTATTTTCAGCGGTTCTGACACGGTTGAGGCGCTGGTCAAGTCGACTCTGCGTGAAAACTTCAACGTCAGTGCTCTGAGCCACCAGATCACGATCTCAGAGAAGTCGCTATCGTCGTCGCCGAGCTTCGTGGAGCGTGCGAAGGAGGCCGTCCACGAGGTGAAGGAGAAGATCAAGGGCGATAAGTCGAGCCCGACGAGTGAGAGTCACCACGCTCACAAGCATGTGTGAACCCATGAGCTCGAGAAACGCAGGTCCAGCCCGGTGGACTTTGTTTTAGTGAAGCTGTATATTTTGAATTGTAACTCTTTAATGCTTCTGATGAATGCATCATCGAACTAATTCGCGCGTATCAATTACCATACAAATTTGAGATCTCTCTATCTCCAATGCTATTAATAGTTTGCTCTTCGTTGGACTAAATTGATAGTAATCGTCGTACTGTTTCAATTGCATTTTTAGAGGTTCCAAAAAGACATTCTAAAAAACAAATGTCATTTTTGGTTATAAATATTAATTGGACGAGCTTATAATAGCGTCCACGTTTCCCAGAACAAAACTATTCTCAGAAATCTGATGGTCATGTGATGGTACCAGGTTTAATTCAGGTTTCGGAATTAAAGAGAAGACTCAGGTGCAAGTAATTTATGCGAACTGCATAAATTACTTGCACATGTATTTTCCAGGTAGAAACCTGGGATTCTTATGTGCGAAATATGAGTAAAAGTGGAAATGAGGGCTGGTGAGTTGTGTCGGAGCGACTCTCAGCCAACCAAACGGCATAGGTGATAGCTTTCCAAAGAGTTAGACATCCTCAACGCATTCATGTTTTCTCCAGGTTGAACCAGGTATTGACCATGTATTGAACTTAGTTAGCAATCCTGCGTATCCGCTGACTACCTAGAAGTTCTTCATCTTCGAAATCGCATGCAGCATCGCCCAGCGAAGCTTCAGCAGTCCAGTAGTTGACACGTCACCTGTTGCGTCGCTTCTTACACAAGCCCAGAGCAGACAGCAAACGAACACGCCGCAGTTATCACCGTCGGTCTGCATGAGCTCTGTCAGTGAGGTAGTAGTGAGCTCCTCCTCTCCCGTAGCCGTCTCAATGATCTCGCTCGCCATTGCTTTTAAAACCTTCCAATTCTTTTTGCCACCCATGCTGTCGTATGTCTTGACTTGTTTAGCAGCTATATCAACCACTAAGCATCCCCAGTGAGCACCCCCAAAGTTTACGGGTAACAACACGTACGGATGCAAGGCGACGCCCTCAGCAATGTGCTCAAGCGGTTTTGCAGGAAGCGAGCCCATTTTGCTTGAGCTCTGAGGAAGCGTGATCGCTACGTTATTCTTGTAGCGTCTCAAATACACAGCAAGAGCTCTCATTGCGTTGTCATTTAACCAACGCCCTTAAAAACAGAAAAAATCTGAATAAGCCAAATCAAACCCGAATCCATGCAGATGAGTATAAGGCCAAGCCTCTAAAAGTTGGAGGGGCACGATCTTTGCTGGAACAGGGTCTTCTATAGCAGTTCTGACTTCACTATCAATGCACGTGCAGCATTGAATAGCGTCCCGGCAGGTGGCCTGCATGTTCCAGATCCATTTCATTGCTTCCAGTTGAGGTCTTGTGAGCTCTTCACAGGTTTTAATAGTAGCCACATAGCAGACTCGATCATCTTCTCTCTCCCCACCGCTTTCAAGCTCAATTCGCTCTTCTTTAGCCAACCCCCCATTTAGTTGCCCCAATGCGTCCTCAATAATAGACTATGCCAGGCCAACCCGAACTCTATCGGGAACGAAACCATCATCCTCACGCCATTCTACCACCTTTCCATTGCCCTTTCTCTTGACTTGGAAGGTAGCTAAGAATGAACCCATTTCACGTACGCCGGGCTTAACGGTTTGCAGCGTTGAGACGACGTCACAGACATCACTATCCCTCAGAAGAGCGCGGAGCTTCATCCCGCCGTTGTACTCTTTGAGCACAACCTTCGCCTTTTGCTTCTGTTCGGCACGGTTCAGCTTTGGCCTACCGACACGTTTAACACCTCCTGACAGCTTAATCTTACGCTCATGATCTTTAGTGCCATTTCCATTACCACACACAGCTTCAGATTCTACTGGGGCTGTGGTTTTAGAAGCCGGTTTATTCGCTGTGGAGTTTGTATGTTGTGTAGATTTCGTATTGGAGTGAGTACCTTGGGTTGCTTGCGCCTCGGCATGGGAATTACCGGTGGTTTCGTCGGGAGTCTCCACGTTTCCTCCAGATCCATCGCCACTGTGGTCACCATCGCTATCGGCACCGTCGCCATCCGGCGTATTCACCACCGGTCCTTGACGCAAATTGTATCACCACTGTTCCAGCTGAGCCATCGCTGTGTTGAAATCACTGTCCGGAAATTGGACAAGCTCACCACTAATTCGTCCAAGCGCCTGCTGGGTACGTCGATACTTATCCGCTTCAGTGAGATTTGAAGCGTTTGTGGATACGCTGGCCTTGTATATCTTAGCCATGAAAGGCTTTCTTACCTCGACCAGGCTCCCTGGTACAAGCCTGCTCTGTCCAAACCACCTACACGAATTCCAACAACACATCATGACAAACATTAGTCAAAACCTGGTCAAAACCTGATCAAAACCTAGAAATACCTGGATGCAATGCTGGAGAATGGGATGATCAGCGGATTACCAATCGCATTCCTGTATACCATAGCATGACGACATGGAAGCTTCATCGTCTGGGAGGACTCGCAATCGCACGTCAAGTCATCCTTCATGAGAAGGTACTCGTGGTCTTCGTACTGGACATTGATTGTGGAGCCGTTGTCCTTGAATGAGTAGTTGTCTGCTACGGCTGGGTCTGTCGCGACGTTGTTTTGTGTTTTATTTGCTGGGGTACGCAGCGCGTTGTCATCGATAGCACCACGTTGATCTGCTCTGGATAAGAGGCCTCTGGCAAAGTACCAGGTATCTCGACCTTCGACTTGTACTCTTCTTCCTTGCGGTGCTCGATGTTCAGAAGACCCTTGAGGCTGGCTCGCATCGTAAATTGACCTTTTAACTGCCGCTTGAGTTTGCCAAAAAAAAAGTCAAACACGGTTGTTTGTGTGATTTCCAAGTGAGGCAAGTCCACACGATACGCCACTACCCACATTTCACAGTAATCATTCCAATTCTTGTCAAAGCATTCTCAAAGCTCTGTGCGGCCGTCTCTGCACGCTAGATGTTTGAAATCATCACGATGCGATGCGTACGCTTCTATAGTTCGAGAGTAGGTCATGTTCGTGATTGTGTGCTTCATTTGTGCCAGAACATCTGCATCGTACTTTCCAAACTTCGTAGACTTCCTTATAATACCGTGAAGCCACTTGATCACGTGATTTGTACAACACACGAGCCTCCGGGAGCTTCCTGCGAATAACATCAACGTCGCGCATGTACTTATCCACGATAACAATTCGTACAAATCACCAGTGTTCATTAGCTCGCTTAAAGTGATCGAAGCACTTCCCCATGTGCCAGTCACTGTTCGTTTCAATCAGTGAGTATCGCACGGGCTGGCCGTTACCAAACTGGTCCATTGCTACCATCGTCCAAAACTGGTAGTTGTACCTGCCAGCATGGAAAAATACCTGCTCAATACCTGTTCAAACGTGGGATAAACCTGCACTACGTAACATTACATATAACTCACTGGTTGGTCTTGTGTGTGCAATCCATTTGAACCACCTTCATAAGGTGTCCAACATGGCGCGCATGTGGCCGCTTGTCAGCGAAATAACACCAGTATCTCCGCGAGCACTTTCACGTACTGTGGATACTTTTGCCCAGGACGATCTGTTGAAGTCCACAATCATTTCAGCAACTGCATCATCATCAGACAGCTCATCACCTACGAGGCAAAGATGAGCGCATCAGTGTAAAACTTTAACATCACACCATTTTATACAGTATTAATTTGATTCCGCAGCCGGAGCAGCAGGTTATGAACGTCGTTCATTGTGACTTGATGGCTGGAGCTGTCCCGTATATAGTTGTAGACACTCGCAGTGCCGGCTTTGGCTTCAACCGAGAGCTCAATCCCTGGCATCAAGGGTGAATCAACAGGAACCTGGCGGATACCTGGATAAGACCTGTAAACTCCTTCGGAGATCCGTGGTTGTGCCTGTACACCTTTCGCTTCATCACGATACCCCAGATGCCGTCACGGCGCTTGGTCACTTGTGCTAACATCTGAAATGGGCAGTCGGTCGTGTTTAACTTGTGTGACATCCACTTACCCGTCGAACTGTCACGCTCCGACCATCCGTGGGTGCAGATAAACTTGCGCTGATAGGGCTCCATTTCGATAGGTACGAGCAGTATCTCTGAGTCTGGAAGTGAACTTGACTGTGAAGGTGAGCGTTATGACGAGCGATGTTAATCACCTTCTTCACCACGATTTTCTGACGTGTAGCCTCCATGTATTCCTTTAAGCTCACCTCCAAAGAGACCCAAAAATTGTGCTGAGCCTTAAACGCAGGAACTTCAGTCAATTCCTCATCCTCGATGTCTGAAACGTTCCTTTTCCTCCCTTGACGACGCCGCCGAAGGCTCTTCAGCCAATTGAGTCTGTGCGACGTCTTCCTCTGACACACCCGAGCTTTCCGAGCCATTCATAGTCTCCTCACCGGCTGTTTCCGCGGCTTTCGCGTCGTCGGCCTGCTCATCCGTGGTAACCTCGGCGGACTTTCCCTCTTCTCCATCGTCCTCTAAGTCTGCGGTGAAGGGCTGAGACCTGTGCACAGTTGCTAATGCTTGAGCCCTTTCAGACCGCGTACGCGCATCATGCACGCGAGCGATGTCTGCCCGTCGAGCTTCCTAGGCTAGGCGCTCCTTCTCCGCCATCGCTGCCTTAATATGAGCGGTCTTGTGTGTACGCGCCATCGTCGCTCCGTCCGGGTCGGCGCGGTCACGTGTCGCGATTCTCTCCCCCCTACTGGTGGCGGAGGGGCAAAAGAATAAATAGCGGTAATTTTCAAGCGATATATTCTACCTAGGCAATACCGGTTGATATACCTGTATAATACCTGATGGGGGAAACCTGGACGCGAGGGGTGCTCTTATTAATTCCATGGAGCGTCCAAATTAAAATAATTGTTTGTGAATAGGGTTGCTGCTTCATCGACAACAATACGAAGATTTAAGCATATCCACAACCACGCGTATGTTACATGTATTCCTAAGGCAGTTTATCTACTTGAAGCCATTTTGGCTGTTATTCATTCAGCTCGTAGTTTTGTAATAAGCAAGTGGTCATGTTCGCTAATTTGTCAGCGTGGGACCGTCTAGCT